TGAATCTCATGCTCTCCCACTTTGTCATTGTTGAGCTCTTACTTTATGTTCTGGGCTTCAATGCTTTTTTTCGGTCAAGAAAACACAGTGATTGTCACAGATGCTTTCTGAACAGTGATCCTTGCTGCAAAAAAACCAAAAAACCCTGCCTTGCCTCCAGCTCAGAAACAAGTTACTGAACCCAAAACTGAAGTATAAAATGAAGTGATAACATTTCATGCACTCTGCCACATGCTCCTTTTAAGCCTGAAAGTTCTGCTTAAATCAATTTTCCACGCTGCTTTTTCTTTTGTCTTGCTTAATTCTGATTACACCGCCAAATGATCTTGTTGTTTCAGTCGTGGTCCTCGGCTTCCCTGGGGTAACGTAGATTTCTCATACAATGAGCTGCAAAACCCCTTCAAATATACTGCTAGCATTCATTGTCATTGCGCTTTTACAAGCAACTGTTACAGAAGCAGATAAGCTCCTCTGTACAATTTCTATTCCAATTTAAAAAAAAAAATAATCAATCCATTAGCCTACAAAATGTAGTGCATAGGATACCTAAAAAGGAAGAACAGTTAGCTTGACAATGTAAATAGTTTTAAATGTAACAATTTGCAATATGTTTCAGAAGAAAATATTTCACAGCAACTGCCTATTTGAAGCATGGAATTAGTCATAAAATAGGAATTGTTAAATATATCAGAAATGTAGGATAGAAATAAAAGTTAAATGCAGGACTAAAAGTCCATAAGAAATCGTGTACTACTTCTTTCTTTGTATGTGCCAGGAAAAGAAATAGGTCCTTTAGAGAAAGGCTCAGCGCTGGGTATAGGACAGGACTAGCTGCACCTCCCATCTTTCTAAGTCCTCTGGACAACAGACAGAGGTCAGCATCTAACCAGACGGCTGTACTTGGAACTTAACACACAAAATACATTTTATCAAAACACATTCTTCTAATCGCTTTCCTTGGGGAAATACTTCCTGAGCATTTTCCTCAGTCACAATCCCTTTGCAGGTTTTATTGATAAGAAACTTTTCTTTTTCATTACATTTTTTGGTTTTCTGCGGTCAGGAAATCCAAAGCAGGGCTGTTAGCACTTCATGGGATATTGTAATTAAGAAGGATTGTACGAATGTATCATTCATGTCCTCATGGGGTATAGTCATTACAAAATCAATTTTGTTGTAGTTGAGTTAGATTTATGAAAAGGTAGGATATTGGATTTCTAAACTAATTACACAGGCAGGAAGTCTAGTTACAACTTAAATGGAAACTCTGGATCTCTTATACTCATGTGGTTTAAATTTCCTTAATTCTATCCAAAGAGTCAAATAGATCTAACAGCACCATAATTTTCTGGTGTCAATTTCCTTTTAGAAAACAGATATTTATTTTACTTACCATCGCAGAATTTTGCGAGCAGTGTAGGAAGCACCTGTGTTACACCCTGGTGAGTCAATCACCACCATCTGCAATCCACCTACCTCCTTTTTACCTCTTCCTTTTCTTTTCTTTTCAAAGATCCAGATACCTTGGAAGCTGCCACATCCCATGAGCTCCCGATTGTCAGAAGCACTCTTGAAATCATTCAAAGGGAAAAGAAGAGTGATCTTAATAGTGCTGAAGGATGCTTTGCAACAGATGCACCAGTAATCACTAGCAGTGAGGTTCTTCCTTCCCCAGAGGCAACAGAACTTACCCGAGGTAAACAAAAAAATGCTCAGAGCCCTGAATCTTACCTATGTGTTTTAAGGCTGTTCAAAAGGAACTTGTGTTCAGTCTCTCTGGGCCAGCCTTCTCTTTGCTCCAGTTTCTTCAGTGACATCTAATAGAACTGTAAGGAGGAATACTAGGTCACACCTTGCATCCCTTGCATTTTATTACAGGAGCCAACACTCAAAATTCCAGAATTTCCATGGAGAATCTTTGGCTTCAGATCAAATACTAGCTCTTCTGTCTTGAAAAGCACAATTTCTCAACTAAATAAATCTGACTCCACACTTGAAATAAGTGCCAGAACTGAGAGAACAGAGGTTATCACCTTCATTTTCAGACATGGGTGGATCTACATATGTCAGAAGCACAGGAATAACAAGCAGTTGGTTACAGGAAACCACAGTAAATATTCATCAAACTAACTCATAAATACCTCTGCTAAAAGATTAAAACACTGAATTTAGAAGTAAAAGTAACCAGCCTATTTAATTTTTTTTTTTTTTTTTTTTTTTTTTGTACTCAACAACCTGGGAAATATATTCCAACTAATGTACAGTACAACCAATTTTGCAATATAACTGAAGCTTCAATATGACTACAGTTTTAATAGATTTTGCAAGTCCTAACAGCAGAAAAAGAACACAAAAGTCAAGGATGTCAGATAAGCTCTAGCAAGCAATAAAGAGATCTGCTGATTCTCTAGGTTTCCATAAATTACTAGGTCTAGTCTAGTAAATGTCACAGAGTAAGGACAGCTGAATCAAAGAGTACCTTTTCAGTCCTAAAACAGTATTACAGTGCTTAACAATGGGTGAAGGTACAGAAAAATCTACGCTTTACATGGTATTTCTGTGCTGTATGTCCCAATCAATACTATTGATAACAGACTAATTAACGAGCGACTGCCACTTGCTACGTATGTAGAATCTGCCAGATAACCATAATTGTGCTGGAACTGAATGAAATACCTGAACTAGTTAGCAAGAGTAATAATAGTTCTGCACCTCCTCTTGCATCAAATCCTTTAGCTCAAATCAGAGGTTGCATCTGCAAATGTTTTTGCAGTATCTGCATTTAACTCACACTAAAAAGTCTCACAAAAAACAATATAGTTCTGATGCTTGCCTTTGTATACATATCTTTATATAAAAATATCAGTATTTGCAGGACAACAAATTAAAAAGCAGATTACACTTCCATACAAATAACCCACATTTCAGATAACACACACAGTTTAAGCACACTAGTAATCCTGGCAAAAGCATTCCTACAGAAGTCAAGTCTTCATGCCATCTTCATATTAAACTCAATTGATTAAAATGGGAGATGAGATGATGGTACAGAAAGAACAGGGAATGGTGGCCTGAAACAGAAAGGTGTGTGGGGGGAAAATGAAGACAGAATGTGTGCTCAGAGGTAAGGAACATACTGCCAAAGGCACAGGTCCAAGATAAAATGCTTCCTGAGCACATATATAACCTTATTGCTGAGATACAAACCATGTTTGTTTGCTTTTGCAAGACAACTAAAGGTGATAGGCATGAAATGCAGTAAATCTGAACACACGCTGGGTGTCTCAGGGCAGCAGCCAATGTGCGTTAGTTTGACTGGGCATGTGGCATGCTCAACACGTGCACATCGGCTGTGCTCCTTTGTGTACATTTAGCTGCAATTGGGAAAAACATCCCATGGTGTTCCACTGGATTAAGACCTCCTCTACAGTGCTTGGTTACGAAAATCATCGGTATTGTCAAGTGGATTTATGAAGTACAGTGTGTAATTCAGAAAATCACAATCTAGAAGTCTCAGTCAATACAAGATGTTAAAAAGTTGCTCACCTAGTAAAAAACAAGACTTGCAAAACTTCATCTTAAAAAACTCTTCTTCTTTTTTTTTATGGCCTTATCATAATACTTGACACATGTACTGTGTACAAAGCAAAGCCACTCTATGCGGTGACACCAGGCTCCAGACAAGTTGTCCTTGCATATTAAAAACAGATAAACGTAACTAATAAAGCAAGATAAATACTAAGCATTAAAAGACAGAGACTTTTCAGGGCACCATAAAACCATACCTTTCAGTCAAATTAATCATTTACGTCATAAAAAATGCTAAGTTGAAGAAAATACTCCAGAATGAAAAAAAAAAAAAAAAGAAAAAAAGAAAAAAAAAAGAAAAAAAAAACCAACAAGTAGAAAGCTTCAGGTGATTTTTGATTATGTTAAAAATAATCCCTATTTTTTCATAAAATATGCAGAACTTTGCAACTTAAATTCTATAAGTTACCTTCCAGAAGTTATTTGCTTTCTAATTTCATAAAAAATTAAACCTTAATTGGGTAGAAAAGCACCTGGAGCATATCCAGAAAGAAAAGAAATTTTAGCTATTCTCAGTTACGCTGTACAGCATCTGTCAGGAGTTTTCACACACTTTCCCAAAGATACCTCAAATTAAGATAACACTGCACTTGATTTCAGTGATTGGAAGTAATGTTTTGCAAATCCAAACTGGCTGTCTTGCCTATTTCATAGATCCATTTTCTACTGCTGGAACTCACCTTGGCAAATAAATGGATGTATGGGGGGGCTCACCTTCTGAACAAATACAACTTCCCTTGTCAGATCTTCCTTTGCCTTGAATGAAAAACATTTCATTTCTTTGAGATGCTGCAGAATCTAAATCCGGATGCAAGAGACGTAGCCCTGCAATAGGAATGTATGCAGTATTCTAGCTACGTGGCCACCTCGAGGAACTTCAGATCTAAATCTGAGACCAGATGGAAGAAAGGAACATGCACTATACAAAATAATTTTTCATTTGAAGAGTAAATTATTACTCAATGGCATTATACATTGTAAATAAATTTTCTTTATCTGAAATTATAATATTTATGTATCTAATTTACAGGTGACAGAGTAGCATATTCTAAAATTAGAATGTAACCAGCAAAACTAGTAACTACTATAAACAATACCGAAACACAACTCAAGTATACTTCGACGAAACAATGGATACATTCTGGACTGGGGAAGGTTTCAACTGCAGATGTTGTTCTAAATACAGCTGTTAACTGTGTCTCAAAAAAATTCTTCAAGCTCGGAAACATTTTCTGCTTAGGGAGTCTTGAGTATACACATAAAGACCAAGGATACACTACCAAGTAATTCCTCAGTGGTTACTAGTGGGTATAGTAATAATAGTAAATGTCAAAATAAAAAAAAAAAAAAAAATCATTTTCAATATCGGTGTACATGATGCAATAGACAGTATATCCCCTTGGAGCAGAAACTAGAGAAAATATCGTGCCCTTTATTATCTTTGTGGTTTCTCATGGGTAATAGACAGCAGAAGAATTGCACTTATTGTAACATTACAGTGAAGTGTTAGATTGCAGCTTACCTTTTAAAATATTAGTGGCCACAATACTTACGATAGGTTGTGCATTATACAAAGATGAATAAAGATGTGCATTTAAATGAAAAACAAGCAACCACTTACAGAACCAACAGTGAGGCTTAACATAACAAACATGCACTAACCCTACACTTATGCAAAACTATGTTCTTCCAGGAAACTGTAACCAACTGTTGACCTTCCACAAAGGTAAAGGCTTTGTCCCTTGGTAATGTGTCTGGACTTTGTAGTCGAATTCCAGTTTATTAGCTCATTGTCTGTAAGTGTGCTGTTCCACTGTGATATCCTTTAGCTGCCCTTGAGCTTCTGCAGAATCTGCAATCTCACAGTCACTTCAAGGTTTTATTGAGCCGCAAAGTAAGTCCCCTTCAGTACTACACAAATAGGCTTCCTTATTCATCCTCTTCAGGTTCCTGTGGTAAAATCAGTGTCTCCTCCTTTAAACAAGCACTAAAAAACCCAAGGATTGTGCTGTAAAGGTGATATTTGCTTTTCTCAGAAGCAATGTTATGACCTTCATCTGGGTAGATCTAGTAGAGGAAAAAGGAGAACAGCAAATAGTTTCTCAAAGGTCTTTCAAATATTTAGGGCTCTGATTTTCTCTCCCTGATCTTTAAAATGTTTCAGATGACAATAGGATGATGACATTAGTTTTATAGTATCGAGAAAAGGTAATAAAACTCAAAGTAAAATTCATTATCTTGGAATTTGGAATTAAAGAGAAAACAGCTGCAGTGAGCTCCGCAGAAGTGAACAAATTTATATTTACAGTCCCTATGCTTATACCAGTTTACTTTGCTGGCATTTTCAACAGTGTCCAAGCACTCACGTCTCACCATCATCAACAAGGACCAACTGCCTTGTATTTTTAGATACTTATTATCCTAGATTCATACAATTATTAAGGCTGGAGAAGACCACTAAAATCATCGAGTCCAATCCCAACCCACCCCCACCATGCCCACTAACCATGTCCCTCAATCAGACATTCCCCACTATTCTTGAACACCTTCAGGGATGGTGACTCTATCACCTCCCTGGTCAGCCTCCTCCAGCGCATCACCACACTTTATGAGAAGAAATATTTCCTAATATCTGATATTCTAGGTGTTCAGTGAAAAATCTTTTTATTTATATAATTAATTGTCCTCCCATCTCATCTAAAGCCCACCATTTTTCTCTAGCAGGTCGATACGGGAAGTTTTATCTCAAATGGGATTCTCCCAAGTGAGGCTGAACAAGATTTTGCATATTACAAAAAGTGTGTCTGAATAATAAAGCACTTAGTGGAGGAAAAAGAGCTGAGAAAGTCCATAACAGCAGTGAGAAACTGGGATGAAACAATGTTCTAGCTGCAAACAGTCACAATACTGGTGTGAGATACCGGTGCTGTGGTTGGAAGTGTCCTTTGTAGAAATAGCGATTGGAGGTTAAATGTTGACTCATGTTCACAAGAGGTGCCACAGCTGTACATACCTGCATAGTGTAATTAACTCCAGCTTTTATTAGATGCTTAATTAGTTCTGCTGAATGCTGGAAGTGGACTTTAGCTGCAAGACAACATTTGGATATTATTAGAAAAAACGAAGGCATATAAAATGTTGATCTGTTAAATAGCTTTGACTGAAAACATTTCCAGTCTCAATTATTGCCAGAACTGAGTAGCCCTCTGCCCAGAAATGCAGAGCCCAGCTAGCAAAAGCCACAGAGCACCTAACAGCGGGATTCTGGAGAAGAAGCTGGGACCCAGGAAAGCTGTGCTGAACTGGCACTGTGGAAGGCCTCCCCTTGATTTACACACATTGAGACAGATTAGAGTGTGTAAAACCATTCTGTTTGAACATCATGGCAGTTTATAATTGTGTCAAGGGAAAGCACATGAGATTTTCTACTGCTTGCACAAGGTTATTACAGCCCATACTTCTTCAGGTAATGGACTTTCTGCAACATATCAGCAACTTAATCTTTGTGTGGTGAAAACAGGCAACTTTATTACTGTGTCCTCCCCCTGCAGAGTGCTGAGTGGGCTGGGCAGTGTCAATGGATGTGGTATTAAATACGGGCAGCAGCAATCACAACCACAGTGCTGAACATCCCATGCTGCTCAGCCAGCCATCAGAATCCCAATTCTATCATTTGTGCTGCATCGAAGAGCATTCTTTAGCTCCACATCAGTTAGGAAAGTTCAGAAAAATGCACTGCAGATACATTTAAATCTCTCTTGATTGATGCATCCTATAATTCCATTTAAAGTGCTTTGAATTACTTTGATTTACTTACTCTCTGTCTTAAGCTACTGATGAAACTATCGGTGCTATTAAAAGAAACCCTGTAGACTTGGCTTCAGATGCTTTGGCACTACTTTGTAATTAATTAGCTGAAGTTAACTCCTCATTTGGTACCGTTCTTCACCAAACACACTGACAACTCTTTCCTCAGCTGCAGAATCTCTATGAATTTAACAATCCATTAAAAATGTATATTTTTCCATTAATAATCCACAGAATAACTTTCACTAGCAAGATGGTACTCCACAAGATTGAAGCAGATTACAACATGTAGCACCTGAAAGGTACAAACATTCAGCAAAGAAAAATGTCATGAGTCTAGTTACAAGTGACAACTGAAACAGAATATTAAAGATCCTGTATTTAGGATGAATAATGAGGAATAGAGGAATAACGTAACTCCAAATGGTCTCACTGAATGTTTGCCTCCTCTGCCTGTTACAATCTCTGACTCGAAATGCAGTTGCATCTGTGAATACTTACTGTCTGCTGTCCCATGAACTATTAGCATATTTGCTTCTTTTAAACCATGAAGATTGTGTAATACACTGGATGCCTAGTAAACAAACATACAGAAGCGTAAGCATATTCTGAAAGCAAAATTGCTGTTTTAAGTTACTTGTTTATGGTAACTTACCTGATAGGCATTTTCCTCTTTTGATGGAATACCAAGGTATCTTTCTGAAAAAGCTGATGCTGCGTAAGTAAAAAAAAATAAAAATAAAACACGAAACAACAATAAACTCTCATGAATTCATCAAAATTTGCTCCATTTTAAAATTCCTCAATTCTGACTTATAGCGAGGAGAAGATATTTATGGCATTAAGTAGAACACAAGGTGCTCACTTAAAATTCAGAATCTGTTAAAACACCAGTGTGGTCTGATTTCCTGCGCACCATAGCCCACATTCCATCACCTGTGCCAGATGCTTCACAGACAGCACCCAGTACCCTGTGACTGCATAACGACATGATATCCTAAGGAATTCTACCACTAACTTTAAAAGCTTCATTTTGCATTTACAATTGTGATTCAGGAATTGAATATGAGTTCTAAGGAAATGGGGAATGTGACGGAATTTCAGTGGAAATGGAAAACAGAACCCCTTTGACAAAAAATCTGTGGTGTTGCCAATAGTGCATCTGTTGTGTGTTTTGGTAACCCGTCCCCACGTGAGCTGTCCTTTCACTTAAAGTGAGGTAAGACTCAGCTGATATTGCTGCATTACCTCCCAGTTATGATGAATAAAAGATATCCCAAAGTTGAAGGGTGGGGAATACTCACCGTATAGCTTCATGTCTGTAATTGGTGCCACCACAGCTCCACATTTGAAAAGCCGCTCACTAGATTTCAGAATCATTGATGCAATGTAGCCACCGTATCCCTAAAAATGGACATACAGTTACTAAGAGATCTGAGAATTGTTGGGGGAGGGGAACAAAAACAGGTGACCAAAACCAAACAAAGAAGGTAAGGCGTTGGGGAACCTATCTGGGCTATCCTCTCTCCCACAGGAATTTCAGACCAGAAGGCTAACCCATCACTGTCCATATGCAGGAGTAGATTTAAGTCAAGAAAAATTTTTTTAAGTGGGCAGCAATGCCTTTCATAATTCAAAGAGTTTAAGCAAACAACAACTTTCCTCTGCCTCAGTGCTCTCTACTTTCTCTGTTGTCTAATATTCTGTTTGTATCTTTTCCAGTAGCTTCACAACACAGTTTTAATCCTCGGACAGCTATTGGCACATTATTTATTATTTATAAAATATATTTATCAAGAGCTTGGCTTAATTCTCCTAGGAATTTCTTTCCTTTGTGCTTGTGCAGTCACTTCCAGCCAGGATTTCCAGGACAAAAGATTTACACTGTGAAACCAAATTTTCAGAATTGCTTCAGCATGATGGTAAAGAAAATAATTCTCTGTCCTGACGTAAGAATATATGATCCCTCACTCACGGGCTGGATTTCTGCGGTTACCTAGATGACTTATTTTCAAGAAGCTGGTTGGTTGTGAAGTTCCAACATGGAAAAGAAGCAAACAACATGGATTCGTGCTGACTGTGACAGGAGTTTTACTTCCGTGTAGTTCCAGAACTTCTCAAAGAGCTCCATGACTGTGCGCATGAGCCCAGCATCATGGCAGTAGCATTAAATGATTCCAAAATCATCTTACTTTCATGCAAAGCCTATTTTTTTTTCATCAGTAAGCTCAATGTAATGCACAGAACAAAAGAAAAAAAAAAACAAACACTTTTTCTATCACACTGTGGTATACGGTTGAAAGGAAATGAATTTTAAAGAAGTATAATTGACTCTAAAATAAGCAGAGTAAAGATAAAATACAATTAACCCTACAAAGCTGCTAAGTATATCTATATTTATCCATACATATCCTAATTCCAAAACTGACTTATCGATTTTATGAATTTTTGTCATTTCAATATAACTCTGAGAGGTTAACTAGCTCAGAAAGGGTAAATTTCCCTGAATTCAAAGCAGTGCTGAAGCTTGTGAAATCCCCAGCTCTTGCTCTTCACCTGCACACATTTACACTTCTAATTTCTCCTTCTTTCTGAAAACAAATGCAGGTATGCAATCATCAGTAATATTTTGAAGAGGAAAAGAATTTTAGTTTAGCCTTTGGCAGATAAGCAGAACTATGTTTACATGTGTGCTCTGTGGTAACTGTGGCTTGTCATGTCACTGTTAGGAAACTGTTGAGTCTTCTTTTGAAAATAGAGGCAGCCAGAAGAATATCTGGATATAAAAGTTGTATTAGAAAGAAACAGTCAATTAACTGCAGCCCAAATGTGCAAGACCCAAGCTTTTAAAACACTAAGCACATATTAAAAATTTCTAATGAAAGCAGAAAGCAACACTCTCTCCTGCAGATTCTGGAAAGCAAATATAGCAGTAACAAAAAGCCAACCTGATTAACCTCAAATACCTATTCTGAGAAGAAAAAAACCCACACAGAATATAAAGTAAATTATGGCAGTTCATCCCTTACACACACACGGACTTCTTTTAACAAATGGAATTGTCTTAGGAAAAGTGTTAAACATATTTTCTTATGAACTGATAATAATCTCTTGAAGTGTCATGACAAGACATCCAACTGTTTTTTGCACATTACCTTTCCAAATATACTCAGTCTCTTAGGATCAATGAAGGGCTGTTTCAATAATGATCTGCAAGGAAAAAAAATACAGTCCTTTTTACTTTAATGAATCTACTATATAAAGAAAATTACTTGTACTATGAGGAATTGTTATATTTGTGGATAAGGCAGAAGAACAAATTACAGCAATAAATTGATATTACACTGAGAAATGTGATTTTATTTCAAATTTCTTCTCTGTATGGCAAACACATGGCATTGGACCCACCTCACCTAACTTTAGATACCTGGATTTGAGCACTTGTCTAAATTGCCCATTTATATCTGTTCCTTGGTCAAAAGCACGGAGAGAGCACTCTCAATGAGTCTTTCCTCCCACTTGCATCAGGCATTTCCCTCAGCCCAGGAGAATTACCCTCTAGAAATGCCAGGATCATCCACTGACTAGAGTTTAAATGACTTTCTTTGATCAGCTGCGAAATCTGCATGCAGACAGCTAAAGAAAGGTAAAATAGATGCAACTTCCTACGTCTAGATAATGAAGGAAATAATTAATTATCAAAGCAATTAATCAAATTGAGGCCCAAATCCACCTACTTTTGAAGAGACAAAAACAAAATGCAGTACTGGTTAAGGGCACCCTCCAATTTTCCCATGTAATGCATCCAAAAAGAGGACAGATGTAATTTAGTCTAAAACAGAGTATTTAAACAGAGCTCAGATGTCACAGCACATGAGATCTTCTGTGGCCTGCTCCCAGCGGCCCTTCTTGCAAAGGTCACTAGGACACTTGCAGGATGAATTGCTCTGCTCAGCACAACCCATTCTTGACTGATACAAATGTGAAGAGCTCCACCACTTAGGTCTGTCATACCATAGCTATACTCACTTACTGTTTGAAAGATTGATACTTTTCAAAGAAAATAAATAGCTGGTGTTAAGCCTGCCCTTATCATCCCTCGAGAATCCCCAGAAAATGTTCATCCAGACCTATTGGACTTTTGAACCCTAAGTAAAGATGGTTGCCAAGGCTGTGTGTGATTCATCTATAGAGACAGATGACTCTCTTCTGCAGCTGGATGGATTTACATCAGTCAAGGAATGAAAAATTCAATTGAGAAAAAAGTGGACGCTTGCCTAAGTTTTGATCTCATTTACAACTTAACTCCAGTTATATTGTACAACAACTTGAGAATGTTGTGGTGAGAATGAGAGCAGCATCCTATCATATAGATCTAAAACGTTATAAAATATTACAACACAAAAATAGTTAAACTTTACCATTCTTACTGTGAAAACTGAAATTAGGACAAATAGAAATTAGCTCAGAGGCCATCTTCTCTCAGATGAAGAGCTTTACCAATGAGAAGCACAAACAAATAAAGCAAGAATCCCTGATCTTTAACTTCGTTTTCATAATTAAAAGGCTACTATTTCAAAATCTGCAACTGCATTAAAAACAAACACTAATGGTATTTATTATACAAACAAAACATTCTGGGCAGTTTCAATTAAAAATGTTTATCAAGGTAGAAGCATGGTAGAAGAGAAGTTTGCACATACGTACTCTACAGCTGCTATTTGGTCCTTCACTTCCACTGATCCTAAGCATCGGTGCACCTCCTGTAGGATCTTGAGGCCTTGAAATCCACTCCCTCTGCCATCAAATCGAGCTATGATGACATTATCAGAGTTGACAAGCACTGAGTCCCAGTCAATGCGAAATTTATCTGTAACCAACTGGCTGCCTGGAGCTTCATCACTGCAAATACCAACACATCAGACACAAACGAAGACTATTGATAATGTGATGTGCTTTGCTGCTCTTCGATATTTTATTTAACCTAGATGGCAGAGTTCATTTGATTATGTAATACTGTTGAATTACTGTCCCTTCCACTGATACCATTCCATTAGACAGTGCTGCTGTCCCTGCAGTAGCAGTAAGCAAAATGACTTCTTGAACTTTATAACAACTAAGCTGTAGTGATGCCAATAGATGAATATGTTTTATAGAAAGAACCAGAAAATTAAATCAATGAGTGCTGCTTATAGGTTAAATTGAACAAAAAAAAAACCATAATCTCTAATGGCTAGTTTAGTTCTGAGAAGGCTCACATACAATTAAGTTGCATTAAACACAGAAAAAGGAAAATTCATTCAGTACCTTGATTAAGATTTTGTAGGATATATAATACTATTAAGAAGGTTGCCATGTTAAAAACAATAATTGCATTATTGTGTCCTCAAATGAATGTTTTGAAATTGTATAGAAGGAAGACTAAAGAACACACTGGAGAAAATTATATTTTCACCACTCAAATTCACAGCAAAGAATGGATGCAAGCAGGAATGATAAGTCTATTTTATGACAGAAAAAAAAGTATTGCAGAGTAGGAATGGTGGAAAGAATGGGAGAATGCTTTTTCTACAGGAATAATAAGCATTTTCCATTGAAGTCAAATACACTATTTCCCCCATATAAAATGACAGTTTTTAAAGGGAAGCTTGTCATTATTTTTTCCCCAAGAAAAACACAGAACAAGAGAGCAAGCTACTATGAAGCTGTACAAAATGCAAAATGCTTCTATGCAGACCGCATCCACCACTTGGATGCAAATTAAAACATAACAACTTCTGTGTTGGCCATATGGAAATAAGATTGGACAGTGTCTGCGGGAATATCCTACCTAAGGTGAAAGACATATGAAGACAGAAATTATTATTTTGCCAAAGAAGTCTCAGCTAAAGGGAGTCATGCAAACCTGAGGAGAGGAAAGAAAGTCTTGTATAATAACTACTGTATTTACAATATCATATTTACAATAGGGTGCTCATTCATTATCTTTTGTTGTTGTGGATAGCATAGATCACCTTCACAGTAATTGTCTTACTAATTAGCAAGTGTATGATGAATACATATGTTCATAAATTCAGTAGGATTTACCATGTAGATGTAGCTTCCATAACATGCACTGGAATATGGATTACTCAGCTGCAGAGTTAATAAAAATATTTTACACTTGATTCATCATTATCTTGTGCATCACTTTTACACATGGGTTTATAAAAGTAAAGGCAGGGTGTTTTTTGTTTTCTTCATCACTTCAGTTGTTGTCACACACAACTGCAACAGCTGTGAACAACACAAAGCAATTAACTAGGAAACACTGTCAAATGAGCTTGGCAGAAAACACAAGCTTCAGAAGTGTATTATCATTACCACTTGCAATAAGGGCGAGAGCAGAACAATTCTTTCAATTTATGGTAGTGGTACAGAGTAAGGTTTTCAGAAGCTGTCTACATTTGACAACAGTTTCACAGTTTCCACCACTGTTTCCAAAAGCAACAGCTTAAGATCAGCTGACTTTAAGCATCTCTAGCACTCCTTCTTGATTGGGTTGTTGGACATACTGCTTTTGGAAACAGTTTTCCAGTGGCTAATTTATTTCAAGACTGACCACATTAGTAGTCTGTAGCAGGCATTTAAAGCCATTTACACTGAGGTACATGTCAAAATTCCCATTAGCATCAGAAAGTTTCTTTACTCCTCAGCTGCTACTGTAAAATGATACTGATTACCTAAGGTGTGACCCTTTTCCACAGAGATAAAGCACTTATGCTGTATCTCTGTATGTATCATTTAGGCCCCACTGTTTCCTTAAATGAGGCTTCTACGAGGCATTAATCCTTTATGTAAATTTAAGCATCACCCTGAAAGGTCTGTAACAAAGCAGTCTCCTTACTGCAGAGCAGTAATAGATGCACACCCTGATTTGCAAAGTTTGTCCCGGCATTCCAGCTTTCTCTAAGGTCGTTTTTTGTCTTACATTCATCACTACTTACAAACTAATTACAATTAACTTCTACTCAGTGGTACCCTATTTATTGGTCCTGATTCAGTTTATTCTCCTGTTATGTGATAGCATATGTACCTACTTTTTCCTACTTTTTTTTCTTTTTTTTTTTTTTTTTTTTAATCTTAATTTCCAAAGTTCAGAGCTGCCTTGTTTGTGTCTTCAAGAGCAACTCCATTACACTTCTGGTTTATGAGTCCACTGTATCATCACTACTGCTGACAACTTGGGCAGATTGCTAGAGCTCATCACTGAGGTACCATTTAAATAGACAAAAACCATCAAGAACATACCAAAGTCAGTGACCTTAGGGGCTAATTTTAATTCCTTTTTGAAAGGCAGTTACATACCTGTCTGGAAAGAGGGGCAGCTTATCTAAGTTAACATACTGCTGAGGAGAAGAATCTGCTCTTTCAGATTCTGTAACCAAAAGCTTTAATTGAAGTCTCTGTCCATGACAGGATTTACATCATACAGGGAACAGTACTGTGCTATCAGGATGTTGCTGCTGTACTCTGAGTTCCACTCCTTCCACTCTAGTATTGTCACCGCAGAAAAATTTTTTCCAGGATATGCACCACTTAAAAGCCAAGTGGCAATACCTTAATAATAACTTCAGAAGTTATACATTTCACCAAGCAGAAGGCAAAACAATTTCCAAACAAAAGTGGAAAATCACTGTTATCATTACTGCTTAATTTCCTGCACATCTCTTTCCTCCAATTTCTTCCAAACAACAGATTTGATGTTACACATGGAAAAGCTACCCTGAAAACAATAACTAGAAAGACTACATCTCTGAAGATAAAATCTATCCACAAATAAATATCAATGACAAAAATCTTCTTATAGTGAAACCATGTCTTGTGCTATTGGAAAAGGAGGTGAAGTATTGAATCTTCTCTTGTCTTTCTCTAAGAAAGACTAAATATGTATTTTATTCACATCATAAAATGTATACTGCTGGGAGGAAAGGGAAGAGACTAAAAACAGGGGTAGCTGTATGAGGAGAGATCTTATCAGAACTGTTCCCTGAGCCCTTTCCAGAAACTAGATGGAAGAGAAGGGAAGTGAGAAGATCCACTAAGTCCCACAAAACCAGGACACACTGCAAAGGAAACAGCTGGGATAAAGCTCAAGCCTGGCCTTCTTTTAGCCTAAAGCTAAATGAATTTTCTCTCTAGGCCACAAAACAGGTTATGAAGCTCAAAGAATGGAGAAGAAAATCAAAGATTTTGTAGTAACAGAAGCACAATCGAGAAGTAAAATACTGCCAAGCATGGCAAAGACTGAATGAACACAGGCACTGGATGGATGGATTGCAAAGCAATTAGTGAGTCAATCACATGACTTTGGGACTCCAACAAAATTAAGCTTTTGTTTCACAGGGGAAACTGGGACTGGCCAAATAAAAAAAACATCCTTTGCAAATGTACTGCAGTCCAAGTATTGAAATCCACCATGTATTTTTCCTTTTTACCTTGCAGCTAAGCATTTACCCTTCATTTAAAACAACTGACAGTTGAAATGAGTAATATTCTTTATAACAAATGAGAGGTATGCAGGATGATTATCATTATACAGAGCGTTATCAGACCTCAGATCTTAGACTATTTCCAAATACTTGAATTATGCCTCTGCACTTCTGCTAGCCTTTTGATGAGTTATTCTTGAAGCTGTAAAAAAAAGCCTTCACTTCTACTTTACTGTGCTGATATCAGTCCCAAGACTGTACTGACTGAAGGCATAAACAGGTTTGATTGCTTGTGCAAAGCTTAAAGCTTTCATTGTTTTGGCAACAGGTCAAGTGATTCCTGATAATTACCAACATATACGAAAACAAGTAAACAAGCATCTTAGAGACAATTCACTGTTACTTTGGGGAAAACTTTGTTTCTTTCCTTGAAAATCAGAACAATCTCTCCATCATTCAGTTTTACAACATCCAGTTGAATATTGGAATATTTTAAATGATGTTCAATAATAAATGTTGACATTTAAGATGCATTATCTAAAGATTTTGAAGGAATGAGGTTAATTATATTCAAGAAAATATAAAGGATGATTATCACATCTCATCTTATTACTCAGATTAAATGCCAAAGACTTTACTTAATCATTTCCTGTGTGTTACTAAGGAGTGATCTTCCAACTTTTTTAATGAGTAATAGGAACCATAATGAGCAAATCATTATGGAATTTAAACTTTGATCTTCATTATATAGAAAAGATATGATAATCACGCTTTCAGGCAATTAGTGTACATGTCTCTAATTAGCTAGAACGTATCTATTATATCAGAAGGAAATTGTGAAATGCATTAGTTGTTTAGGAGAACAAACGGAAGAAAGGAGAACGTTATAATCTATCACTTTACAGCCTATGCATCACAAAACCAGACTGAAGAACAGTTCTAACTGACAAAACTGGTTTTTACACAGGACCACATAAGCAAAGCAGATCCTAGCAGAATACGTGGTTCAGGGAAGGTAAGAGACTCTGAAGCAATCATCGCACTCTGTTACATCTTATGTGCCATATTTGCCCTCCAGTTTAGGAAACAAAGCACCAGAAACCTCCATAAACATAAACAGGGATTTAATATGGACTGTAGATATGTATTTGGTGAACTTCTTGTTAAAACTCACTTTCTCTTTTCCTCATCTCCCTTAGAGGATTCAGTATTATAAAGACAAGGATTTGACTAAAAGGCTGTATCTCTCCATTATAATATAAATACAACAGCTTGTATTCACAACTAAAGTATTTTTTATCCCATGTGCACACCATAAAAAACAAATCAATTACAAAATATATCAATATATTATGAACTGGCTACATTATTCACTCAGTAGGCACTGATAACAAGAGCGACCCTAGATTTAGACTCTGTCTCAATACTGTTCTAGGTTATTTAAATTGTATATAGGTAAAAACATTTCATAACAGTATTTCCTCTGATTTTCCTTTTTCCTATCATATTTTTTCCAGGGCCTATTTAAGGTTTCTGATCTTTCCTTTCTTCCTGAGGTTTTATCTGAAACAGCTTCATGTTCTACCACATCTCTGTATGGCAGATTATCTACTTACTAGGATACATGAAAAGAGAAGTGTTACACTGCCAACACCTTAGTGCCTCTGTTCCCTAAGAAAAAAGAACAAGCTCAAGCTTTTGCAGCTCCCTGTAATGCTGCTGGTGTCAATTCACACAGTCTGTTGGACATCAGCACCCTTAAAATACCATCATGCTCCAAGATCACACTAACAAATACTGCAAAGATAAAATAATCCATGCATCCTCTTTCTCCACAGGAAAATAAAAAGGTGTTCAAGAGCCACTTAAGGAAGAGAACCTCTACAAATGCACATAAGTACCACTGAAAAACCTAAGATTTGAACAAACCGGGCCTAGAAAAAGGTAGTTTCATGCCTCTCTATCCTATCATCTGAGAATTGAGCTGAACAGAGCAATTCAGCATCACTCAGCAGCTCAAGCTTGTGAAGTTGACCTTGCACACAGCAACAGGGATCTCTACTGTCATTAAGAGGATGTCTGCTCCAGGTGACACAACTCAGCAGAAGTTGTATTACTGCTCTACCAAAGTTATGAAAATACATATGTGATGGTAAAATTCATATCAGTTCATTGTATCTGGGACAGAAATGTCTACCCAAGGGGCAAGCATTCAGGAAGAAGGCTTATTCTTGGAGATATTAAGCATAACTGTGAAGCCCTCTAGGAGATTCAGATGTCAACAGAGCGGCACTCTAACATCAGGACAAACTCTCCTGTGGTCATTAGGAATCACAGCTTTACTGCAGAGGAACAGACAAATTCAGGGCCAGAAAGGACCAGAAATAAAACTGTAGACACAGGAAAGCCCTCTACACCCTTGGCATCCAACACGTTGAGCTCAGGCGGCTGAGCCCAGGCAGCCTGTCACCATGCTCGCGACTCTGCTTCATTCCTCAGGTATGCATTCTCTGTGTAACTAAGTTAAAGAGTGTCTGTGCAAGGAATACACATTATTTTTTTTCAAACAAACAGCATACACTGCTGGAGTGTACCTCCCACCTCCCATAGATGTTTTCTATAAATAGCAACAGGCTTTGAATCACACGTAAAATGCTTTCAGCTAGCAATGCTCAAAAATCATTTTGTCTTCTGTCCAGTGCTCCTAAACACAGTTCTGCTGTATGCCTCTTAACTCAGACCCTCTCAGAAGCTCTAACTGTTTCTATCAAGGAAAAAAAAAAAAGAGAAAAAAAAAGAAGACACTCTGCATGTGATCCTCTGTGGGTAGCAATCAGTATGGGTCCAAGAAAGAATTAGTTGAAGCTACATCTCAGAATGGTTGGTGCTTCACCTCATCAAAATAAAATCAACCAGAACTAGTTTTGACAAGGTCACAAAAACTTTAGGCATCTCTTCCAGACAGTGCCTATAACAAAATCTTCCCTAGAACAAATATTCTCATTTGTCAATTGAAATCCATGGGGTAATTTCACACACACAAATTCCACTTTCTAACTAGAGAATGAAATGTTTTCTATGAAATATATTTTTTAATTGTCTACTGTGATTCAATACTGATACTTACATCATTAGCAGAAGGGCATACTGGTTCCGATCCGTGAAATCTTTTGGTAGTGACAACTGTAAAGGGAGTTCTTTTGAGAAAAGAGTAAAACATTAAAGACTCGCAGTTACATAGTTGAAAAACAGTAACATTCCAAGAAAAGTTTTGGTCTGCTAAAATAAAATTTTGCGAAATTTACCGTAATCCTCAATGTGAAGCATTTTAATTTCAGTCCTGGAATTCTTTTTCTTAAAAACAGCTTCCTTCAACACAGCATTGTTTTCCAAAATATAAAACTCTGTAGAAAACAGCAAGAACAGTCAAACTAAAAGGTACAGAGAGTCATCATATCATATAGAAATTGGGATTAAAAAAGAAATTAAAGACAAATGTGCATTAATAACTCCTCTCAGTGATCTCTTTCTTTAACTACTTTTTTATAATGGAACTGCTTTGCAATTTGAGAGCAACTAGCTTCATTCAAAACATATACATCTATTTGCTTTTCTGACTCCAGCAGGCTTTGCCTTGTTGAACACTAATAGTGAAATTGCTGATAAACTACATGAATGCCAGAATCCTTAACAATATCAACAGTAGTTATTAGAAGAGAAAAACCAGTCTGCTGGGCAATATCCTATATCCTGTTTTTTCACATTACATATTACACGTCAATATTTCACCATTACAGCTCTACTTGACCACTGCACGTCCTTATCTGTCTTCTGCTTTTCAGCTAAGAACAAGACTTCTGTTTTGTTTAAAGCTGCAAATAGATTTGAAACAATCATTTTGCATATGGAAGATTAATTAGTTCCTTTTTTCCCCTCTTTTCTTCTTTTTATTCAAATTAACAATTCTGATTCCAAAGTGTAATTTTTAAAAAATTAAATAATAAACCCTCCACTTCAGTCCTTTTTTAGACTTAAGGAGCATGTCTTTTCTGGGCAGCCAACCAAAATGGTGTAATTATACTCTCAGGATGAAATAATTGAAGTAATCCATAATTATTGTTTTATTAATTGAAGAGGATAATCTAATCTTGCACTGAAATATTATAGATAAATTATCTGTCTTATTATTTGGTTTCTTGCTGCTACAGCAAACAACTTGCCTCTATTCTAACTTGCTTTATTTTGCTTTAAGATGCTCCACATAAATCTCTTACAATGATTCACTATCAATAGTATTTTAGATACAAATAATAAAGAGTCAAAGTGTACCTTCAGTGAACTCAGAAGCTCTACAGAAGTCAACGGATTCTACTTTACCAGTATCTACCTCTTAATGAATTGGATAAAACTCCTCCACTTTAGTGTGATAAGGCATCGAGATTAACAAATACTATCAACAGTGACATTAAGAAAAAAAGAAGACAAAGGACAGATGAACACTTGATAGCATGATACTATTGATCAGTATGCTAATTCAAAATGCATGATCAGGTCTCCTGTTGCAGTTTAACAGCAGCTGGCTTAGGTCAAAAAGAATGCAGAAAAGCAGAATACAAAATTCTTGGATTCTGGGAAAAATTCTGGATATGAACTGTTGAATGAAATCAGGACAGGTAATGATTGGTCTAATTTCAAATGCAAAGATCTTCTTCTTCCTTTGATCCACATCTTCATGCTATGTGAAACCACGGTGAAATTGGAAGTAGGGAGGTAGTGTGGTTACCTGTACTACACTAGAGGAAGATCTCATGAGGCCAATTCTACAGCTCAGGGACAGTTTTATACTACAGTGCACCTCAAACAACCAGAAAATACCTGGCTATAGATTTGCTGTCAACATACATAAAGTAAAGAGTAAAATTTCAGAATTCAGAGGCATTGAATACCTTCCTATAAAGGCCTTATTTTTGGACTTGCTAACAACACTGAAAATGTCACTGAAGTTGCTCTGATCTGAAAAATGTGAAAACGGGTCTAAGTTCACTGTATGTAGGTCAGATTTTATGATCCATCCCCCAAGGTTTGCACTTTACTTCAAGATAACTGGATTATAACCTTTAGAAAACATCTGGGAAAATACAGGAGGTCTATTGTAATGGCAGTATAATTTACATAGCAAGTGAAAGGGATGAAGAGCAATTTGCCATCTAATTAACACAGGTGTAAACAGAAGATAAAAGATATGCACTTAGCATAAAACATATCCAAAAAGCCTGGAAAAGTTATAGTCATTTTATTACCCTTTCACCGTATCATTTACAGACGTGGATATCACTAACAGGCAGTTAGTAGAACTTTCTATGAATGGCACATATGTTAGTTTTCTTTTATTCCCCCCTCTTCCACACTCTCCAAATCAAAGACAATAATAAAATTCACCCATTCCATGGGGAATACTCACTTCCAGTGTCACTGGTACTGTGCACGCTAACAACTGGAACACCTGGCCCTGTTTTGAAGACAGAAGAAAAACAGAGGAAGTATAGGGCACCTACTACTCAGTATTTCAGTAAATAACACAGAATGAAAAAATAGTAACCATGTAAGGCCAGATGCTGCAATCCCCACACACATGCTTCACTTCAAATGCAGCAATAATTTCACCACTATCTCTTGGGAAAGACGTGAAGAAGATTACAAGACCAACAGTGCCAAACTAAAACTGCATTCCATCTCATAAGCAAGCAGTTTAGCTCCCTCATCTAAAAGGAATTTTTCATATATTCATCTCCACGTTTTAACAACAAGTGAAGAGTTCAAAAGCTAGAGAAAGCTAGAAGACGCTCAGTTTGACATTCAGAAGCTGTAACATTAGATTGAGAAGAAAATGAATTAATGATAATATCCACTTCTATTCTCTATGGAAAAGCTACAGAGGTGTTGAAAAATTATCACATATTTCATTTAATTCTCTGCTCAAGAAACTCTTGAGCATTTGAGCTCTTTAATAGCACCAATAACATGGTATATCTAATGTAATGTAATCTAATCTTACTTCACAGTAAATGAATTGTCCCACTTGACACCCCTCCCAAAAACAGAATTTGTGCACACAAAACTTAGATTTATCTCAATAAGACGAGAGCTCAAATTGCTCAAATTCTGTCAAACAGTGACACAGGTAGTCACTGTTGGGCTAGGAAGGATGAGGTCCCTATGGACCCTGTGGCAAATGAAAGTATGGACTCAGCTAGGAGCTGAGACTCCCTATATATTCCTTGGAGAAAAAAAGTATTCACTTTGTGAGCAATTCAGAGACTAAGTCACACATTTTGAGTCATCCTCAGGAAGTTGTTTCTTTCAATTGTGGCACAAGCCTAGGGAAACTTAAGTACCTGTAATAAACGGTATGATGCCACTCACAGCCTCAGAAAGCTTCCACTGAAGATGTTACCAATTTCATTATCTTCATTCAGGAAGAACATTGACAAAAATCTTGCAGGTATACTGCTGGCAATCAAAGCTTTCTTCCTTAGCTCTTCGAGAGGAGAATTTCTTCAATTCCCCCTTAGTTTTTTGAGTTTTTTTAAATTTTTATTTATTTATTTATTTATTCATTCATTCATTTTGAGGGAAAAGCACTGGCACTTTCAAGGCTATCTCTCTTTACTGTTCTAAAAAATAAGGGTAACATCAGATTTAGAAAAAAGGACATTAAAGTACATTAACAACCAGTCAGAAAGGAGAAAGACTTGTGCTACAGGCATCGTATCACAGCTCATCTGAACTAAGCACATTCCTGGTTTTGCCATCGGTCTCCTCTAACTGACGCTAAGCACATCTTACTCTCTGCTGAATAAAAAGGGGAAAAAAACAATTAATCTCTAATTCTAATTACTCCCTAACTTATCTGAGTGGAGAGAGTAACATCTGCTAGTGTTTATGAAGTGCTAAAGGAAATGTCCACAAGCGCTGTAGAAGAAAAGGTAAAAGTGATGCTTGCCAAGACTGAGAGCTGTGGAGCTGATCCTCCTACCAGATTAAAAATGAACACATCACTCAGGGAGGTCTCTGGAGACCTTCTGGAGATGGATACAGCTGGTATAACTGAGACAGGTCTGGCTGAGAGTAATTAAAAAGAAAAAATGACCTTATAAAGATGCTTATTAAGAAAATAGAAGGTGAAAGAAACTTTCATAGATCAAACCAGATCAGAGATCCCCATAGATTTTCAAGTCACTGGGTGACACCTGACTTTGTAGCAACTCAGGCTTTTCGTTGTTGGAAAATGAGTGTGGATGCACACAGATATGGCATCACTTTCTTTTGAAAGTAGTTTACTTGGGCACTTGCAAGCAACTCTGCGCTAATGTTGCTGTCAACTGTCAGATACTGTCAGAGATCCATGCCATCATAGGCATTTTCCAGACCTGTGACAATACTTTGAGGCCATGCTGCTACCAGACTGTCACCTTCAGTGTAGAGCAGCCTACTCATTGAAGTGAAGGTTTAATCCTGAGAGGGTGATCTGCAATCTTACAAACTCAAGCAGAGAACTGGAATCTCCAAATTCACTGAAAATCAAAAGCTTATGAGCAACTTTATGTGCAAGCTCCTATTGACATCCACAGTTTTATACCAAAGGAAAAAAAAAAAACAACAGGCGAAGTATATTCTGCTAACAAAATAACAAGAAGTCATGTTTCTAGGCCATAGCATACTTCCTGATTCAAAGCAAATATCTCTTCCAGTTTACCAGTGTTCCTTCTTGCAGGAATCTGAGATTTCCCCCATAGAGACAATGTCAAGCACAAGGAAGAACTCTGCCTAAATAATGAGGAGCTCCATACTGGGCCTTGGGATTATCTCTGTAACTTCTGCTGCAGCTTTATCCGTGTAGAAACCATAGAGGTGGTATATTCATTTTTCTAATCAGTGATGTATTATAGGTACAGTTCCACACACACACACACAAAAAAAAAAAAGAAAATAAAAATAATAAAAAAAAAAACAACTTATTTTAGCCAATTTATATTCACTGTTTGTTTGAGTAGATTCAATTCTCAAGCTGGCAGATTTTATTTTTGTGTAAAACAATCTGCAGTCGCAAAAGAAGTAGAAAAAATGCATGTAAATAGAATGAGCCAGTCGTGTTTCAGACTTGTGTTCTACTATTTTCAATCTGATGTTGAGCAAAAATGTTAGGAGAGCACTGCTTATAAAATATTGCAAGTTTCAAGGTTGATAAGCCAAGATATAAATTTTATTCCTGATTTTTACATGCTTTTGTGAACCTGTTCCTACAATCATTTATTTATCTGTATTATTTCCTGAGTGTTAGTTCTAGTTTTCTGTTTGTATATACCAACTCTGAACCAACTGGTGCCATTTAGTGCTACTGGAATGCACCTAGCAATAAAAAGTTAAAAGTCTTCATTTTGTAACTAGGTATAGTTGTGCAAGATCAATCCCCAAGCATGATATAATTAAGTAAATTACTCCACTCATTGTTATGAACTACAGTATCACCATTATAAAATCCCATCCTTTGCTGTAAAGGATTTTCAATGAGGCTGAATTTGAAAGACAGTGTGATTTTGTAAAACTGAAGGGCTAGGACTGAAGCAGCTTTCTGATGTCATGTGCTAATTTAGCTTTTACACAGAACATCTTTACTCAGTGTCTTTCAAGGAGCCCAGTACAGAATTTTGAATAATCCTTTAATGTGCTACAAGTTAGACTCCAGCCTAATGAATTTCTTATGGGTATACATTAATTCAAAGCAAACACAGTACTATTACAAACTATGCATTTGACTTACCTTCACAGTGCAGTAAAAAATGCCTGTTCCTGGGGCTAAATTTTGCACTGAAGTATGTGCACTGGTCTTTCAAGAAGTTACATGAGAGGCACTGTCGATTCAATGATCCCACTGTTGACACACTGGGGAAAAATATCAGAAACATTTTCCATTGGAATAAAATACAAGAAACACAGAATCAGCTCACCAGAGTGATAGAATTTATTTTGCCAAACTATCACTATCTTATTTTGTGTCTGGTGCAAACTGTTCACAGAGAACAGAGTGCGTTGTTCTTTAAATCGGGTAATGTGGATAGAATCCAAAATCTGCCCAAAGCAGGGATTTCAATAGCAGTGCCCTGGGGTAAAAACATTTGAAGGACACCATGAAATCGATTATTAACTTCAGACCTAAGCACTGTGGTTTGTGTAAGAAGGATGTTCTTCGGCCACACAATTTAAATTGCATGACTGGAGTCTAACAAACATGATCTGTATTTGGAAGATTTTCACTATTTTTACAAACACATGTATTACATTCTTGCTTTATGCATAACATTTTCAATGCTCTTATAGGGCTAGTAAAGATAACTGTAAAAATATTTTGTGTACAAATACATTTTTTCTCTTTTTTAACACAAAATTCTGTTGGCTTTTTTAATTTCAAAAAATTGGGATTCTTTCCTTCTTACAGTTCGTAATATATACATAATATAAATAATATAAAATAATATAATATACAGCAACAATTAAGCTCACATAATGTCATCTTAACATTCATGGCTTGGGATGAAGATGCTATTAACACAGACCATGTGTACTCCTTACCTATGCAGCTGTCTTCCTCTTGGGGACTCTTCAGTGCTTAAGAAATAACTGCATCCAAAAGATGAACAAAGTTAAACTCAGTTTGGTAAACTGTCTGACTGGGGCAGGACATCGTAAAGCACATTTTTTTAAATTAGCAATTCCCAAGACTTATTTAAAACCTGTTATGAAGAATACTTATTACAAATGCTATATGATTTCACAGTTAAATAGTGATAAGCATAACATTTAATGGTTTTGCTCAATTTCTGTAACGTCCAGGAGCTCCAGTTGCCACTAGGATCCCTTTCTGCATATTATAAATACAGAACAAGTTCTTCCTTCACTTCAGGAATTTCCAATATAAATCAAAAGAGCAAAAAAAAGGTCATACTGAAATTATATCGTAGAATAAAATAGATGTTCTGATACCTGAAAACGTTTTTGAGCTGTTGACCAACTCTTTCTTCTGTCTAGAGACCTTAGGGAATTTTTACAGCAAGGTTACATGGGTGGAAAAAGGATTAGTACAGCTGCTGACATAGTAACAAGGCAAGTTCTTGGTGTGCTCCAGATGACATCTCTCAAAGTTTCTGTTTGCAAGGTTGGAAGGTATGGAATTCCTCTCAAGTGGCTGAGACAGCACATATGCAGTCTGCCACTTCTCTGCAAGCTGGCTGCATCCTGACCTCATTTATTCTGCTGAGCCCTGGAGAAGAATCGTGACATTCTCTACACCTACAGCTCTTAAATCCATAAAAGTATTGGCCAAAAAAGGTATTTCTCTGACTCCAGAGATGTTGCAGGTGAAAAAAAAGTCCTTGCTGAAGTATGATTTACTTCAAAGAAAATCAGGATTTGACACGATTTTCATTTATGTATTGATTTATTTTGCCATGTGCAGATACATCAGAAAGCTAACTAAGATCCACTGAAGTCAACTGGAACCTTGAAATGTTTTGCATCAGTTCTTCTCTGCTAGCAGAAATCACCAGTTATGTGGTGCTTATTCCCATTGTAATGCCAAGAGGGGCTTCAGGAAGATCTGTTTCCTGGGTCAAAATCTGGGGGCTGGATGATTTGATTGGCATTTTGGAGTTTAAAATCAAATCATTGAAGTTCAGGCTTCAGATAGTAGCTAAGTGAGCTGAAAAAGTATCTTGGGTTTTATCAAGTACTGAACATTTACTGTGACTTGCTCTTCTAGAATCCAAGAAAAGGCCAAAAAAATGTTATCACTGCTGTGTTGTGTGGTGTTTTCTTAAACCACAATGAGTCAACTCATGTCATTATACATTCCTTTTCTCTGTGCATAAAAACAGAACAATACACTGGCAGATAAATTGTCTTACAGTGGCATTTTATGCACTCAGTGCCGTAGAAGTTATGATTAAGTTATGAAAGAAATATTGATGCTTAATTTCAGATACATTATTTCCGGTTAAGTGGATTCCACTTTAATAGCTCAGATATTTGCAAAAATAAAGAGAGTAGTGCTTACATGTTTTGAGTATTTTCATCATATGCCAGTATTTTGATAACTTCCCAGTTTCCCGATGTCAGGTGTCTCACAGTGATCTGCTCACTTTTAGCCTGGAGAGATATGAAAAATATTAATTTTCATCTTGTTACATTTCTCTTTACCTAGCAGGATTGTTTGTGCATCTCATTACCAATTACAGCTGTCAAATCTTTAACATTCAACATAATATCTTTAACTCACAAAAACTGTTCTTTTGAAAGCTGACAAATAGACCCATGATTAGGTGAATCTAAAGCAAGCCATTAAGATTTGCTTTGTCACTGTAGGCTCATGTTATTACAGGTTGAAACTTTAAGTAATCTTTCTTTCCTGTATATAAAGTTTTCAAAGTCAGTATTATCTCAGATTCCACCAGATGCTTCTTTCAGTTGTCCATATGCCAACACATTTGAGAATTCCTATATTTCAAGCTAAGAATCTTATCTCTGTACATATTTTACTTCTCTTAGTTTTGTTTTGGTCTTTTTTCCTTTACAGTGGCACAGCTCAGAGATGACGATGATTAGCCTGGATGTAAAATGTCCTATTTTCATATTCAATTATGAGACACAATTGGTACTGGCAAGACAAAAATGCGTTCCTTGGAACTGATCTCTTTTTGAACAGATCCACAAGGAAGGAATGGTCTGCTAACACTACAAAAAGACTTGCAAACACCAACTGAAATTGGAATGCTGTGCTAGGTGCTGTACAGATGTTTAAGATGCTGGCTCCCTTATTCAGAAAGGTTCTGCTATTCACTGATGTCTCCAGAAAATACACAAATCAGTTTTCTACAGGTTTTCTACAACAACTTTTTCCTTTCTGGAGAGATGGGAACTGCAACTACTGAAAGAGATATTTTCATACTGAGATCACAGAATCTAACAAGAAACAGCAATAAAAAGCCTGGCCAAGCATTAATAAACACGGTCACCTTTCAAGGTTATGGCCATAATGCATAATTTATGAAGCCTGCAGGAAGTTTTCGCCTTGATCCATTAAAATTTCTCCATAATACTTCTTCTGTGGTTGGAAAAAGAACTTTCTGAAGTTGCAAAACCCCAAGTAAGAAATTTCTAGATGCATGACCTATGATTCAATTCCATTTTGAGATTAGTTTCTTTTAAATATTTCATAAGTTACCAAAAGCATTTGAATACAATAAAACACATATCTAGCCCTCTGCATTCAGACTGTAAATAATCTATGATAGACAGTAACCTTTCAAACAGTAACCTCCCTCTGCAAGAAGACTTAATTAGACGCTTCTGCTAACCCGCTTGGATTGTATCATTGACACATGCATTTCTGAAGTACAAAGAAATGCAGCCCAAGAAAAATCATCATTTGTTACTATTCTGCTGAAGACTGACAAATAGACCCACGATTAAATGAAACTAAAGCAAGCCATTAAAATTCGCTTTGTCACTGTATGCTCGTGTTTGGTCTGTAAAATCATTTAAACTTCCTGAAGCCTATACTTTAACTTTGGCTGATTTCTGTTCATGAGCTGCTATCTACACTGAGTAGTATAGTGAAATACGACAAAACGACAAACTCTAACTTGAACTGAGCTCCAACATGATGAAAGCACAATCATCTGGCAGCTGCTTTACATTCTTCATGGCACCTGTCATGCCACTGTGGCTCTCACAAGGTGTGACAAACATCTGATGGGACAACAGACTTTATGTGCAATGGTTAATATAATTTTTATGCCTCCGTGTTTGCTTTAGAAATAATGGACAATCAGATTAATGCAGTGTGTAAAGCACATCATATAAACACATTTCCAGTCCTTCACTGCTCTGTAACAGCTCCATTACCACTCAGAATGTTGTTCATTGATGACTAATGGTTACTACAAGAGATACTGCATTTCCTTTTCTTCCGGGGAGCAGCTATATATTTAAACACAAATTTGTCATAGCTTGCATGATTTAGACACGCTTATTCTTGTCAATGGCAGGCAAAAATTAAGTTTTATTTTATTTTTGGAGCTCTACAGTAGCCAGAACTCTAATTCTGCCCAACAGTGACAGAATACTAAGCTCCTAATCATAATCTTGACATTAAAATAATTGTGGAGGTGTTAAAAGCTGTATTTAAATGCATGTAGATATTTAAATTATCTGATTGAATAGGAATGGCTTAACTTTTTAAACTTTTTTTTTAAACACAGATCAAGTTTCCATAGTAATAAAAACATCAAGACCTGTAGGTTTAAACCAAATTTGATTGTATCAGTAACATCCTTGGGAATTCTGCAAGTTAATTTTCAGATCTATTTCACTATTATTTCTTGTATTTTGAAGATATTTCTTCACAATATTGGGAAAGGAACCAAAATATCATTGACTAACAGATTTTTTCTTCCGATGTGAACTTTTGTGTGGTTATTCCGTTAATACCTCTTTACTAGGTTCTCATCTGAGCTACTGTATTCTTTAGAAGACGGTATTTGTCAAGTCTCTGATTCCTTTTTTCTTCTCTGATTCTTTCTACATACATATACTCCAGTGACCAAATATCTTCTCACTTCTTCAAGTTAAAATTTCATGAAGGCTCTTTTGTTTCTATGCTGTCTGCAGTACACTGCGAACATTTCAGACTCAATGCTCATACCAGAACACTGTCATAAAGGAAGATAACAGAGTCATCTGGTGCCAAGTCTGTTATTCTGATAGTTTGGGTGGCTTGATAATCCCTCCTACGTCATATGGCTCTGCTAAAGTACCTACATTAATGCTCTGGGGATTTAAATAGAAGCCTTGGAATGTTCTGTTCCAGGGCATAATTTCCTAGGTGATCACAGCTTCTTACTGGTGACCTTCAAAGTCACAGCAGGAATGTATCTTCTTTCAGATTCTTCTTTGGAAAGCAATGTCCCTGGGAAATGGAAGCAACTGGAAAATGTTGCAGTGGGTAATAACTGGGTACTAATTTTTACAATATTTTAAGTTTTTGCTATTACTTCCCTTTCTTGTTGTATACACACCTAGAATTCTAAACATTCTGAATCGAAATTTTAAATGGTACATACATATTTACAGTGCATTTAATGAGGCACAAAGAAACAGGAAACATTCCAAAGAGTGTACTTTGGAAACACCTCTCAAATGCAAATCGTACATGCTACCATAGCACATAACAGTAAAGAAAGAGAAAGCATCACTTATTTCGTGAGACAAATGACAGAATAAATGACCACCTACCTTCAAAAAACATTCTCAATCCTAGACAACCAATGGGATACAAAAAATTTACCTGAACAATAAACATGGCTATGTGGTGAAATTCACCCCGGCCTCCTTGTTTCACAGGGACAGTCATGAAGAACTTAGTGCCATCCCTGGAGAAAACAGGTTCTTCATTCTGTAAGTGTGAGATTATGTTAGCTTCTCATGCTTTCCTTTTCACTTCACAAAGCCTCAGTAGAAACCTTAGGTTTCATGTCAGTTTGCTTTCTGCAGTTGCCATGAAAACAAATGGAGAAATACCCTTAGATTTAAAACACTGTAGTTCCTGCAGGTAGTTATCATTATGCAATCTTGTCCTGAAGCATAAGTACAGTCCTTGCAAAACTGTTCCTCATTGTGGAAAGGTCTGATAGTCTCATCTCTACTGCAGTGGGATTTTCCAGGATACGTTTCTTTACAGACATGCAATTAATGACAGAAATAAGTCCTACTTCTGATCAGGAGAAAAAATATTCCCATAGCCTGGATGCAGAAAAACTTTAGTACTGTACTGAGTACTTATTTAGGACTCATTAGTTTTAATAAAATTATACATAAAAATAGACATATTTAAATAATATTCTTAATCATGGTTTTACCATAATTTGTTGGCTGATGTGACATCATTTCTCCATGGCTAACTTTACACAGAAGTAATAAAGGACAACTGCTTGCTATATAAGCACAGATGTTTAAAATGATTTCACATTTTCACACTGCAAAATGAAGCCTGACATAGATTGTGTTTCATACATTGATTGGATGGATGGCTTTTCAGAAGCTATGCAAACGAAATCATTTGCTGACATATTTAGTTCAACATATTGTTCTGGGCATGAATTTAAAAATATTACTCTTATTCTTTCCAATTATAACCCATATGACTTCTAATACTTGAGCCTGATGGATGGAGTTGCTGGATGAAGAGAGATCAAAAACTGAAGGAAACACTGCCTCCAAAACCCAGACATGTATCTCAAACATCTGAACTGCTCTATGGAAAGCTGTGTCTCCTTCAACCAATGACACAGTCACTTAAAGAGCCAAATGTCTTATGAGATGCTGAGAGACAGCAATTCAATTACCTAAGAAGATGCTACTTGAATGTTTATACAGTCACTTCTAAAAACCCTAAAAGATCCTAAAACACAGCCAGTTTAAAAGGTTTTTAATAGCTTATACAACTACTATATAATAGCTTACAAAATCATGCAATTAAATAAAAATGACAATAAAGACAGACAGAAATGGCGTTTATACCATACCTGTTTAGGAACCCAAAGTTCTGACTGCATTTCATATTTCTGTAACAGAAGAAATAGCATTTATGGCCTCAAGCCATTTTGTGGGTTTTTTTTCCTACAGTGCTACAGTTGTCACATTTCTTTTTCGGCACTTACATTGAAACAAATGATAATTTAATTCAAAAGTCAGTTTCTTTATTCTGATTTTTTGGTAGAACACCACTGGGGACCAAAGAATGCCTTTTTCAATCCCTTTTGATTAGCTATCAAGATGCTTTATGCACGTGGTTCTATTTGGTTTTTAGCTCTAGATATCATCTGACAAGTGGATATTTTAGGTCCTCCATCAATACTAGGCAAACAGCCAGCATCAAGCTCAAAATGAGAGACCTTTTCAAATCACAATCCCTTGTTTCAATGGGTTGCAGTGTGGCATTAAGCAAAAAGAAAAAAATAAATGCAAAGGGTGGTTTTTAATGGTCATGCTCATATTTCAAATTGTGCCATCTTAAAAAACAGACAAATACAAAAACTCACAAATAGTTGTCATGCATGTGTTGGAAAAAAAATAGAGTAGAATATATGTCAACTGCTGTAAATTGTCACGGTCACACTGAAGTAATGAACATTTATTAGCTATAGATAAATACATCCGTAAATACATGGCCTGAAAATGAAATTCTATGGCTGCTATAAAACTGGCTCCATACAGTACTTTCTGGAATTTCAGAACGTGCAAAATGCTAAAATAAATAAATACAGGTTCACAGTTGCAATGAAATGGCATGAGGAAAGCCTGTATTTTCACACAATTGCTCTTGCTCACCCATCATTTTATCCCAGCATAGGCACTGCCCAGGGTTACAAACTGAGCCCTGGCCAAGCTGTGCTCGCTGCACTGCTCGCTCACATACAAGGTTCTCCTCTGCACTTCATTTATTTTGGAGTGGAATTTCACTCCATCCCTCTCCTCCATATTATCTCCTGGGCTCCCTGGATACCTACTTCACATAAGTCCACTGATCTTGGAGCACATAAAGCTTTCCTTTCAGAAGGGACTGCTCACAGTGACTTGTGATTAATTCTCTTAAAAAAAAATAAAGGAACCAGGCAGCAACCCAACCAGCAAATTTCATAATCTAACACATAGAACGAGGACTAACTCTCAGATTACAAGTCAGGATAAGCAACCTGCACTATTCAAAAGTACTGCACATAAGCAACGAGCTCAGAAATGATCCCTAACACTCTAACACAATGGACTTCAGTAGCAGACCCTGATAAGAACTTTTTGACTCAAAAGCCAACCTACACTAATCACCCAAAATCATTTTTACTTCAAAAGCCTTTGTTGTTACTGTTATGAGCATGTACAGATAATATTTATACTTCCAATTTGTTCTAGGAAGAAACTGTGACTCAGAACGGGAAAACAGCCAGTTGCATTTAAGATACAAGACTGAAAATGGAGAGAAGGAATTCAGGAATTCAAGAAGTCAAAGCCTGGGTCAAAGAATGTCAAGAGGCTGCACTCAAGAAGAAAAACGTATTTCAGCTTGGTTTACTCTCAAAACTAAAACATCTCTGTTGCTTTTGTATTACTTTTTTTTTTTCTTTTTTTCTGAAGTTACTTAATTTTGCTGCTGAATTGGTAAGAATTATCAGAAATTTACATGTTTTCTTAAGAGTATGTAAACTGTGAGAGCCAGAAGGGGAGAGAGCAGAGATCAGCAACATGAAAATATCCAAAGGAAGACAAGCTTGCTACTGTACTAGCTATATCCATAGTATATGATGTTCAGCAACTGCAGTTTCCACTGATGCTAATGAATGAACAAAGTTGAGTAATTCTGAAAACGTCACTCAAATTTGCTAATTGCATGAAATCGTTTAACCAGATTTGGAATGTCCTCACATCCATTTCCTCCCTGTTGACTAATTACACTCAGCTTGCAACTACAGCATCTGCAAACCAATTTCTGAAAATCTTTTTCTGAATATGAAAACAAAATGCAGGAAGAAAACTTGAAAAGAAAACTTAGAGAGCAATCTGACTTACCCTGCTGCAAGCGCCAGTCGTTGTTTCACAGACTGTAAGGATGGAGATATTCTGGGGTCTATTTAACCATCTCACCACAGCCTTGGTGTTGCTTACCCAGTTCACCATGGTGACGTAGTATTCCCTAAACAGACAATAAAATCACAATGTTCAGATCACTCCTGCTTCAGATTAAACATTCCAAAAAAATACAGAAAATATACAGAATGAAAAAGTACATGAAGACTTGTACTTCATGACAAGATCAGCACTATGGGATGGGGATGGGGAAAATAACCCCAAATGCCCAATATCTGTTCCTGGAGGCACTGGGCAGAAAGGCTCAATCCCAGCCTGCTGTTCCCATTCCCCTGGGATAACTGTATTCCATCAGCACCTTCTTCTCAGCCATTGCTAAGGCATAAACTGTTCCAACTGGGAAACATTAGCCTACGAGGTATATGTCTGTGAACACACATAAGCACTTGCCAGTCAACTTAAAAACTGATACGAAATTCTGACAGAAGCCAGTATTTTCCCATAAGAAACACCTTCAGAATATACACGTTTCTGTAAAAGAACCCAGCTCAGAAGAAAAGGTCTGCAAGTTTATAGAGAAGCTGAGACCGCTTTAAAATGTCACTTGCTATAAAATATCAAGGATTTAACAATGAGACCTCTGCAGAAAAGAATCCAGCTGAGCTACATGCAACAGTGGTGATAACCTGTTTGGAAACTCAGCCCCACTTGAAAACAAGGGTCATCATTTGCATACAACTAGTTTTTTAATCTAATACCAAGGGAGATCTCATTATGTTTTGACAACACGTATTTAATTATGCATTCAAAAGATATCTTACTAGTTCAAAATGCTAAGCAGTGCCAGCAGCAAAGCTGAGTCCAACTCCGATGCTGAGTGCAGGAGTCAGCAATTCCCTGCAGTCAACCAGCCTATAAGGTGCTCTCTGGTAGCAACACAGCTGAACAACCCAACACACACAACTTGATTTTAGCTTTTATTTTTTGCTTTTAGTTAAATAAATATTTTCACATGCAGGTACTGGAATGATAACTGGACACAGTGACTTCAGGCATACTGTGAGTCTGTTTTTTGTTTGTTTGTTTGAAAATTGTTTCAAATCCTTATCAAGGAGAAAAATGTACACCAAAACAACAAAAGATCTAACATAAGGCTCTGTGACAAAGCCAACAAAGCAAGGATCCAACATACAATCCAAGTGCAACACCAGACCTCGGGTAATTGCTTCCCCAGAGCAGAGCTCAAGAACTGCGTGCCTTTCCCTTTACATACAGGAGCCTGAAAACAGCCAAAAGGAAATGTTCAAAATACATCTATAAGAACAGCTTCTCTCCATGTACTTCAGCACCAAGACAGCATCCACTGTCCCCAGTGTCTGATTATTCCAGAACCAAATTCTACAAAATAGAGCCCGAGCTGCTCCATTTGAAAACATCTGCAGGGAGGGATGGAAACAAGAGATTTAATCATTTGGAAAGCAGCTGATATAGTAATTAATAGTACAAATCAAACTATAACCCCATCTTCCATCAAGGACATAAACTCCACGATCACTGAGGCGAAAGCAAAAGATCATTTAAAAACTCCTTTTTTCTCCCCTCTCATCAACTCTGCATAATAAATTCAAACTTCACTACATTATGACTTGTTTATCAGGAGTGCAGTACAGTGTAACAACACATATCCTTCCAAAATTATACTGCCTCCGAGTAATATTCCTTTGTAATTCAGAACAGACATACTGCACAAACATATACAGGGTAGCAGCACTGTTGTAGGCCAACACATGTAGCATAGTCATAAGTTTGTAGGAGAAAAAACATGTTTTATTAGACTATATCACAGAGGTGCAGTATGGCAGAGATATAACCCAGTTTCAGCATTCAATTGGCCTAATCAGAGATGACCTTACCCTCTTGGCTCTCACTCAAAATATCTTTTCACCCCACTCCCAGCTTTATTCTCCCAGCACACTGTTCTCAGATCAGAGACACTGTAATATGAATCAAGGCAATCATAAAACCTATTTGCTAGTACTCATCTCCTCTATCCCTGGACCATCTAACTCTAAGCATAACCATCAAAACCCCTGACTGTCAATAAAACTTCGTTCAATCCTTACCTCACAGACCTGTGGGTTTTTTTTAGCCAGTCTACGTTTCATATCTAATCACATTTTCATCTCAATATTTTAGGGTCTCTTCCCCGTCATGTACTCTAACCCTTTTTCCTTCCTGAATTGAAAGCAGTAAGCTTTCTTTTTCACACTACAAAAGCAGACAGAAATCTCTGAAAATAGAGAAAAACTGAACACCTTATGTGTGTTGCAGAAGTGCAGGTGACATCCTGGGGCCTGATGGAGACAGAGGATATTCAGTGAGAGGTGTGAGGAAAACAAATGCTTTTCCTGAGTATATGGCAGTAATATTTTTCTTTTTGAAGGCTTGTAACTTGGTGAAATCTGGGTTTATTTCTCAATGCTGATAAAAACATGTTAGATATCAAAAATGCTTATCATCTTTTGCCAGGCCTGTGCACCTGAATTTTTTTAATCTTCCTTACTTATTGAATGTTTTTCATTTATTTTGATTATCTCAGTTGATATGCACTCCTGGGGAGGCAGTTGAGCATTTTTCTAAAATATTTATCATTATTGAAGGATATTCAGCACGCCTTGTTTCACTTGTACATGCAGAGAGATATATGCACATTTTGCTAACTGCTGTTTGTAAGTTCTCAACAAAGTCAGCAGAGGCAGTAAGCTGAACAAAGCAAAGGGATTTGCACTGCATTATGCTGGAAGCATAGTTACAGTCCTAATTAAGTTTGAACATCAGATGCTTAAATTTAAAATAGCCTTGAGCTAACACAAGAAAAAAGAAGTTTTAAAAATAGGAAACAGCAATGAATGAAAGGAATCTTACTTTCATTGATGGTATTAATAGACTTGGACAATAAGGATAGTGGGGCTTATCTTAACAAAGCCAAACCACTACATTCTACTTGTTTGCTGGCAAGTTGTTGAGAAACAGAAACTCAAACAGTGCACAATGCTCTAAAATATTTGCTATATTCTTAAATTATTTCCACTGTAGTATATTGAAAACTGTATTTACAGATGCTAATAAAAAATGCCGTTCTCAAAAGCCCATGTGAAAAATTTAACACAAATGGTTTCATGGTGTGCAAAGTACTGAAGATAACTGCAGTTAGCATTTTGGCATGCTGCTTGCTGTAGGCACACATTGATGAACTGTAGCCTTCCACTTGGACTATTTGGTCCATGGCGCCCTTTCCATGGGTGCCAGCAGCCACCACAGCCAGGCCACGTAGCCTCACTCCCCATCTAATCACAGCCTCAGACCCAGTCTAGCCAAGGTGATGGTCATCTGCTGCACCCTAGCCCAGCCACGAGCCCCCATGGGATAGCTGTGCCAGGCTTGGTTCTGCCCCCTTTGCAGAACTTGCATTTCTTCCCATTGAACAGTGATGGGAATAATCCATGAGTATCTTGGCGCTGAGCAGGAAAGCTTCAATAAAATAAACCCCATGAATATACTTTTATCCTGGAGGCTTTGACTGAATATATTAGAGCCACTTGATAAAAGGTGCATAAATCCTTTGCATTAACCTTGTGAGATAGGCATTGCTCTTGCACAGTTATAGAAGAGAGGAGGGACAGAAGCTTGAAAGAAGTGACTAGACAGCATGTCTAAGAACAGCTGAAAACGAAACCTTGTTTTCTTAATACAAAACTGCCCCCTGCATCTTTTCCACTTGAGTTAGAAGTAAATAAGATTTCTATCCCATTGCAAGGCTCAGACAAACTGGCTGCAGGAGGTACAGAAACCTTTTCAGAATCGAAAGCTTATTTCAAGCTAGAAGTGTATAAAGCATCCAAATAATTCTGTTGATTTGGAAATGCGTAGGTAATTTTTTTTAAAAAAAAAAGAAGAGAGTTTAAAGATTGTTATTTAAATTTATGTTAACTCAATTTCCTAAGTGTTTCCAGTTCCATTACAAAACATTAATTAAAATCAATCAAAATGATTGAAATATGAAAACAGGATGTGGTCATCTACCTTTTTTAGGCTTTTAAGCAGTATTGGAAAAAAAATAAGAAAGAAGATTGACTTAATTTATTAAAGTGCCTTTTAAAACTACCTGGTCAGCAGTGACTGGAAATACTGCAGTTTGCTCACTATGGCTGAGAGCAGAGAAAGGAAGCAGCAGATGACCCCTACACTGAGAGACTTTCAAGAACCAGTGTAGAAATAATTTTTCAATTTCTCCACAGACTAAAACTTTACGGAGTAAAATTAAAAATATTTTTGCTTTCTTTCTTTCAGAAGAACTTGAATGAACATTGAGAAGTATTACCAATTACATTCTTAGAATCCTCACAAGCAGTAAATGACAGTAGAGCATTGAACTGACTCAATCTTACACCGTAAGAACAGAGGAAGAGGTTTCTGTTTTCAGAGGTCCCACACTGCAGAGTTGGGCAGGGTTGAGAAGGTGAACATTACTTTTTGGGGTTATAAATAACTGAAACCACATTCCCTACCCCTTTATGCATGGGATTATATCTCTCCTATAATAGTAATTGGTGATGATGTGAGCAATATGCATCTTCACAATGTGTCAATCATGAAAGATCTTTAAAGCTATGATAGTCCTCCTTACTATTTAATTGTGAAATGCTACTATTACATATTTAACTAAAGACTCCACAATGAATTGATTAGAAAGGCAGTGAAAAAGACTTGACTGCTGAGTACAGCCAATAGTTTTCTTCAAAAATACAATAATTAAAAAAAACCTTCCCAAAAATTGTAAGATTTCCACTGTAGAAAGGCCTGCTCAGAGGCCATTCCTCATACCAGCATACATATTAACACATGGATATATGTGTGTATGGTATATGTGTGTGCATATACACATCTGATGACCTATGTGATTATTGTCAATTACTCAAAACCAGAGCTACAATGTAAAATTCCCAGAATACCTGGCTCATATCTATACAACATTCCTATATTTTATAGCACAGATATTATGCCCTGATAGCAAAAATGAAGATAAAGCTAATTTTTTCCAGGCTTACATAGTTTTAACTAGCCTTCTGATACATCATAGAATCATTTCGGTTGGAAAAGATCTCAAAGATCACCAAGTCCAGTGATCAACTCATCACCACCATACCACTATCCATGTCCCTCAGTGCTATATCTCCACGGTTCTTGAACACCTCCAGGGACAGTGACTCCACCACCACCCTGCGCAGCCCATTGCAACACCTTAACACTCTTGAAAGAAGTATTACAGAAATTTAAAGGAATGGCGCTGTGTAACAGAGAGAGCAGAGAACATTATCTTCACCAAGGACTCAAAACTCTGGGGAAGATGCCACTCAGGCTCGCACCAGAAATTCTACAAACTGAGTTAGACTTTAGCTTCATGACGCAAATAATACTATTTAAGATATCAGTGTTCGCCTGTTTTATTCTATCTTTGTTTTCAACAAATCAGGCAGAAAGAATGAAACCTAAAAATCTAAAATGAAACCATTACATTTTCAAGATTATCTTTTTCTTGGTGGTTTACATAGTGCTTCCTCATTTCACATCTTCACATCTTTAAACAATAAAACAACAATTTTAATGCTCTTTAAGCAAGTGAAGATGCTAACCTTGGTAGCAGAGAATCTCTTCCAAATCTCATACAGGCACTCATTAGTGAGGGGCTAATAAACAGCAGGAGATTTTGTTTTGTTTCTGAGCACCAATAGAAAGAAAATACTTCAAAATGCACAATGCAGTAAAATAATTCTCTCCACAAACACAATCAGTCAGCATTCCTGCTGACACAAATAATTACAAGGCATAATTCACTACTAAATTATTCCTGCACTAATTTCGGATACCTCAATTTGTGTAGAAGAGAGCTGAGGACAGGTTGAAGTTGGTACTGATGGTTGTGAATAACTACCCAACATTAACTTCTAGATTGTTTTGGAAACCATCTTTTCTCAGAACTGCAAGAACAACCCAGACACAGCATTTTCTTTAGAAATACATGTCTTCAAAGCCAATCTTTCTATTCTCTTTTCTTCTCCACCCAGTAATGCCCTCAGAGAAGAGGGAAGTGGCACATCTCTGCCCTTAGACTGCAGCTGTATCTGCACTATAGCAACTCTTTATTACTATAACCTACACCATATAACAGTTTAGGGCTAGAAGACCACTAACATGTGCACTGAAACCACAGTGGGAATTTCAACAAGACAACTGTAATTGTCAAATTGGAATAACCCTAAGGGAAGAAATGGAAATTTTCTTGCCCTTAAGGAAAAGTTTCAAGTGATCTCCAATGAGTACAGGTAAACCAGGAGCTCACCTTAAGATAGTAACTTTATCAGGAGGGTTACCAGTTGCAGCCAGTCCTGAAATCAAAAGGACCATTAAATTAGCTTAGTGGTCCTAAACATAATTTCTTCTAATGACCTTCCTATCAAGCACAGACACAGCACAGTCCTTCTTAGTCTGTGTGACCTGATGGCGTCGCTTCTCCCCCTGCCACCTCCTTGCATCTGTGAACTGTGGGGAAAACTATTTCCATAACCTAATACATTTGACAAGCTTAAGATATTCATCTCTAAATGACAGAACATCCTGGCAACATGTTCTATGCATTAATAGTACATGTCTGTGTTCTGTAATTTCATTTCAGAAACAGAAACCAGCAAGTTGGCTCACAGCAAGAAAGGTTACAAATGAATGCCACAGCAAGCACAGAGCAGCATTTGGACCTCTTGACTCCATCTTAGTATTCCTAATTTCACATATTTCAAGAGAACTGAAGCACCTCAGAACACTGGAAATGAGCAAATTCCAGATCCTTGAGTTTTTTTAAGAGGAGCAAAATCATATAGTATTGTATTTGACCTCACTGTCTTTATGTCCGGCTGTGAGAACAAGGTCAAGTGTGTTTCAGCAAAATACAAGAGTTGTGCTGAAGTAAAAATGGCAATCAGTAGCCTGAGAGACAGTCACGTTAAATCAAACACAAGTTTCACTAAATAGTGAAATTAAAATACCTTGATTTAAAGCTGTCAGGTGGCATCAGTTCCAGTGTATGCGCTGGTCCATACAGATTAACTACAAACAGCTTTACTGTTGGGTTTGTTTGACCTGCCTTTGAAAAAAAGAAAACAGGAGCTTTAAAGGTACTGAATGAATCAGTGGTAGCTAAAATAGACTTGCTCATTAACATAATAAAGTATGTTTACAATAACGAGAAAGCTCTTTAATTTTAAAAGTGAATTTCACAGCCATACAAGTCACACAGATAAAGATATTAAGTATTAATTTCATAATCCTCTTGTTGTCCCTCAGTGATGGCAGCCCTCTGGTGCAGGGTAAGGGGATAAAGTTGGAAGTGTGTCATTGGTCAGTTCCTAAAAAAGCAGCCAGCTCCAGATTCCAGCAGTCTTTTCCAGCCCCTACTGTTCTTCCAAAAAGCTACATAACTCTATCTGACACAGCATTCCTCCTCTTCCTCCCCTCCCTTCTCTTTCATCACCATTTTCTCTAGGTCTTCCTGACTTGCTGAGAAGGAAATCTCTATTTTTGGCACTGCACAGGATTCTGTGTTCATAAGACAAAAAAACAAAACAACAAAGAACACTTCTTATTGAAAAAGAGAAATAAAATGGTAGTTTGATACACATCCACTGCGAAGAGTCTGATAAAACTTGAGTATCTACAAGAAGCCAAGACTCATGCTACTCTTGGTAACATGGAACATTATTATGGGACATTCTTGAGAAAAGACTGCTGACAGAAAGCCAAGGTATATAAAACTAGCAAGTAGATACCGCTAGTCCCATACCAATCTCCCTGCAATATCATATTCAAGCTTATTTTTTCTGTAAGCCACAAAACACTACCCAGCCTTTTTAGGATATGGGGAATGACAAGTGTGTATTTCAATGGGAATGACTTTGATATACTGGAAGGGCAAAGTGAAGTCATTGATATTTGGCTTTAATCATATTAATCTATAAAGCAGTACATTGGACTCTTCAAAGGGATATTTAGAAGTAAAAAAGGGCTTGGCTGAAATATACCTCCGCATTTTTTCTTTAGAAATCAGATTTTTCTCAAAATATAGGCAGTCTGAATGCGGTGTCTATTTCTAAGTGATATGAGGAAGAAGAAGGTGGTATTGGTGTATTTTTACTATTGCTAAGATATTTAAATTGACTCTTGGAATTTATTTCATTCTCATAAAGTTTTACGTCTGCCTGAAAGCAAATAATGTCTTTCAAAGGCATTCTCAATATGGAAGCAGCTTACACAAATGCAAAACTGTGGAAGAAAACGACAGGTCAAGTCTTTTGGTTACAACAAATATCTCCTATGAGTCTGTATATGCAACATGTACACAGAAGTGCCTGTTCCAATACTCACAAATACACGTGGGTTTCATTTTATTTTTTAATCACAATTAGAAATTTCTCAAATGGTTTTATTTTACATAAGATCCAACCTTTCTTTCATCTCTGATGCTGTACCACAAGATTCATTACACATTAATGGTGTTTAATGGGTAGCTAGATTGACATTAAATAGACACATTAAATAAAGAAATGTTATTTCATTAATGAGATTACTAGAATAGTACTGTGCATCACTGTTATGCTGAACTGCTAATCAACTGGAATTCCCATTTCTTGTTTACAAAGCTCATTTTTTAGAAATATCATTACATTTTTTTCTTTTCTCTGTCACTCAAGGCCTTTTGTCAGTGAAAGCATGTGAACTACTTCTAAAAATGTTATTGCTTTATTATTTCAGAGTATTATTTCATAGCACACATTATATATCATACACACCGTTGTTTCATAGTACATGTTGCAATCTGTTTCTCCATCCATTACAAACAAAGACTTATCTCCAAAAATTGGCAGCAAGAATAGGGTTAGAGCAATATTATTTCAAAATTCTCAATGAATTTCCCTTGAAATTTCAAAGGAGTACCATACACACAGACTTATGTCTCATAGAAGAAGGAAACTCATGCACTTTAAAATTATATGTAAGACAAAGAAAACCTGTCAAGTTGGAAGATAATATCAGCATTGGAACTTATCAGAATAATGATGACTAAGGAGGCATTTGATCAAGAAACTTCCAGAAACTGAGTAGCAAATTCAGACATCACCCTTCCCTGAACAGCTCTGTTATTTTCCAACATAAACCTAAAAATCTTTCTCTACATGTTCTCAAAATCAGTGACAGTGCGTGTGTATGCATAAATATATACATATATATATATATACATAAATATATACATATATAAATATATACATATCATATGTATATAATATAAATTATACAACATATATCAAATATTATATGATACATATATCATATATATACATATTTTAATTTATTATTATTTTACTTAATGCGACAGCATCCTTTTTCCTGTGCAGTCCTACAAACATTTTATGTTTGTAACATAAGTAACAGAAGTGGTGCATTGACTTTAGCATGCAATATACTGAGGATGAAATTGCTATGAATCATTCTGTCTTCTGCTCCCACACCTGATAATTTCCTTCTAGCATGAAGTGTTACAGTCTACTAGAAAAAAAACATTTAATTAATATTTCCTGAAAAGCAATGTGAACCAAGTCAGCTTCTACTGCCCTCCAGAGACGCTCTGCTCCTTTCATACAGAACATCACTGCACAGGAAATAGGAGGGTATGGACTACAGTTGTACTTATCTTACCTTAGGGTATGGATACTGCTTTGCTTTTGGATATAGGCCTCCAGTAAATCGGGGAATAACCATGCTAGGAACCAGGGAGTCATTTATGGTCAGGAATGCCAATCTTTCACCGTCTGGAGACCACCAGTGGGCAATATGAGAATGGAGAAGTTCCTCTGCAAAAACAGATCACCTTAGCATCTTAACAGTAAGTACTTCAAACTTCCCAGCTCATCCAGTTGCCATTGATTTATTCTTTCTGTGGCTACTTGAAACGTGTCTGTTTTAATTCCCCTAATTTCACATTATACTGAATGAATGTTTGGATAAGAAGGCATAGGAAAAGTTCAAACTTTCCCCATCTTCCTCGAATACTTTCACTGACATCAATACATTATTGTAATGTGAAAGATAAATGTAATTGTCATATGTTTAGTTCCGTTGCATTTCATTACACGTTTAATTAATTTTTAAATGTTTTGGACAACTTTAATTGAGAGTTCTTTTAGAATTGACAATCTGCTTTCTTCTTTAATATGAAATTTTATTATGCCTGATTTCTCTGCATGCAGATCTTCACACATTGCACTTATGTAATGATTTTTGAAGTGCAATATTTGGGAGCTTTTAGGGTCAGTTTAGTTTAGCTTAGGCTTTTTTTGTTTGTTTTTTTGTTTTGTTTTTTTTTTTTTGCAATCTAACTTTTCCAAAATAGTTTTAAAAACTTATTTTAAATCCAAATTTTGATTTTAATCCAAATTCTATTTGCCAAATAAAAATCATTCTCTAAATGTAATGCAGTGTTTTCTTGCATTTATTGTCATTGTATTTCATACTAGGAATTAAGAACAGAAGCACTCACAGAAACAGCACATACAACTGGAATACCAATAAAGCAGCCTGCAACCAATTCCAAATTCATCCTGTACAGGTCATTTGTCTTCCAACTGTGAAAAGACTTGGATGTTTTCTGTTATGTATTTGATAACTCTTTTTTTTTGTATTTTGTATTTAAATTTGAAGAACATGACTGGAAAACTAATTGAGAATAACATAATAACCAGAATAGAAGTCTGACAGCATACATAATTTAAGAATCTACCTACAAAACTCACTTGAATCGTCAAAGGACACTCTCCAGGACACAAATCAGATTCTGAAAGGATTGAAGTGCCTGAATGAGTTGAATCCTCTAGGGAAGGAGCAACAAAGCCCAAACTTATCTTCAAAGTTGTATATTCTGGGTCACGTTTCTGCTTCCACACTGCATATCTAAAGCCTTTTACACAGGTGACCAACAGAGAATGAATGGGGTACATCAGATAGCAAAAATTTTAATTGAGCTTGCTTTAATTATTCTAATAGTGAAATCATTTAATAATTGTGTTTGTATTCAAACTAGGTTATTCACACAAAGATACTTTCATATGTGTCAGTATGAAGGATGGGCACACAGAGAGAAGCAGAAGCCTAACCCCAAATAACATCACTGCCACTATTGAGCTGGCTGCTGTTCTTTCCAAGTTCACCCACTTTCTTCCTCTGTTCATTGTGAAATGTCTACAGCTTAAAGGAAAAGTCATCTGTTTTACCAACAGCTTCTCTTATCTTTAAGACGAAGTTACAGAAAAGCTACATCAATCTACTTTAGATACTGCTTGATACACTGATAAACTGAAAAAAAAAAAGAGAAAAGTATTGACTATTGGCATGCGTCAAGGAAAAGTTTAGTTTTGCTTCTCATTAGTTCTCTCAGGTGTAGATCTTGCTAACGCAGAACTCCAAACTACATAAAATTCAATACTCACACACATATGCCTTAAACTTCTATTTGTATAATTCTCAGCCAGGATCTACTCCATACTTTCCAGACAGTTCTGATAAAAGGCTTGGCAAATACCAATCAGTTGCATCAGGTAACCTCCTGTGATCTCTTCTAGCCTGATTCATTTTTCAATATTCTTATAATCCTTTGCAGACCAAAAAGATTTATTTTTATAAAGAATCTCATGCTGCATTTTGTTCTACAAACTAGAGCTTTAAGATGATCCTTCAGTATACAGCATTCATGGCAGCTCCATTCTGCACCAAAAGGAGAAAACACAGGCTTGCCCTCTCCAGTGCTGGTGCCCCCAAGTGCATGCAGAATGGGCTCAAAGTTGCCCTGTTGCATCCATAAATATGACAAAATGTATGAACACAGGAAAACACTGGAAAACATTCACTGCAAGTGGCTAACTATCAAATGCACGCAAAGGGATGCAAACTACTATTCTAATTTTAGAGCTTACTGGGACAGAAAGCAAAACTTGGCAGTTTTCAAAGCTGCCTATGTGAGCTATCTGCTCATAACTACTCAGATGCCAAGAGGTACAGACAACATCATTTCTGAGGGCCCCACTAACATGTCTTATTATCCTGTGCACCACCATTCTTAAAAAACACTCTGCCCTGCAAAACTACTTACAATAAGTAAGATACTTAAGGTAACCGAGTATTTAACACACCCTATTAATCTATAAAATTGAGTCCCAGAGTACCACAGAAAAAATAATTGATGTGTGTATTAAATTAAATTTCTTGTATCAAGGCTAGATAACCTCCTCCAAACTTTTTTAGTTATATTAAAGCATTTCAGGTGCAGAGAGAAACCCTGGGCTACTGTACAGAAGGTATCTTCAGAAGTTGGGAGGTAACACAGACTAAGCTGTCCACTGCATTTTGGCACTGCTTGTCAGCAACAGCACACTTTCAGAGAATCACAGAATACCCTGAGTTGGAAGGGACCCTTAAGGATAATCCAAGTCCGAGTCCTGGAGTCTATTCTGAGTTGCTTTAAATAAAATTAGCAGTTGCTGCTGAGGTAGCACTAATGGCAGCACTAAAAACTTGCCATAACATTCAAATTGGATTCAAGTATCTTAGAGACAAATGCAATCTTACTGCCTGCTTTCTGGGGCTGGAGTCTCTTGCAGGTCATGCTAATGCCAAATACTGAACACTGAAGAATTCACAGCTAAAAAAGCGTTGCACCAGATCACCTTCTGATATGTATCCAGCAGTAAAGAAGGAAAATATAGACAAGTCTACCTCTATGCTGTGATTTGTCTCTGTCTCCAGTTAGGATGTTTTAATTTTAAATGGACTGGCACAGTTGTTCACACAAGCATCAAACTGACTCCTATCCCTCTTTAACTGTGTGTAAATCTAATAGCTCCAAAGGTATAAATGGAGTGATTTTAAATAAACAAAATATACAGGGTGTTTAGTTTTATTTGAATAGCTCTATTTGAAATGTCAGCTCCACTGAAGTAGGCAGTGAAAACCCAATGTTTTTAGGATTTCACTACTATGTAAATTTTTAACATACCATATAATATTCATTGTTCAGCTGACATAGTTTAGTTGAAAATAAATTCCTCTTTCTCATGAAGTATTGTTATATGTAAAACACTACTCAATACAAAGTATGAATAGATACAAAGGCAATCTTGCAAGAAAGTGAGAAGACAAAGGAGCAAAAGCAACATGAGAGAGCATTTTCTGAAATAGATTTTTGCTGCTGGTTCTGTACAAGAACCTCTCATCTGTTTTAATAAACATAAATATCTGTCTGGCTTACCTTCATATAACCAGTCTGCAATTCCATTAAAAATAATTCCTTCTTTTCCCGAAGATGTCAGGCGCAATGAGCTGCTCTTTACATCAGGCTGGTAGTAGATGTTATTTTCAAAAATATAAATCTGGATGAGGTAAGAGGGAAGGAAAGAGAAAAGAACATTTTCTTTGATATAAATGAATGCTCAGCAAACAATATGCAATTTTCTCAGGCTCAGTACAGTCAACAGAATCATTCATCATGAGTTTCCTCTGACATGGGCTACATATTTCCTTTTATGATCAATTTGGACAAAGCATGCAAACTTTTAATACTCATGCTAGGCCAAATTCTTCCTTTGAAATAAGTTTTTGCAGTTGGAATGCTTTTATTCAGTTTAAGAAAAACTACTGCATTCCTCAGAATGGTAGAGGAGGCCAGTTTTATAATAGTTGAATAAATTTTAAAAAATCCACTTATCCCACTTCATCTAATAAAATCTTCTGTCTTTGTAGCCAAGAAATTAGACATAGTTCTGCAAGTACATATAGTACAGTAGATACATAATAAATGTAAGCTGTAGCTTTGTATCAGAGTGGAAGCTTACTGAGAGAAGCAAAACTAAGTCACACACTGCTGTATCACCACCTTTTTCCCATCCACAAGGAGACCTTTAAGCACTTCACTGCCACACACATTGGGTATGCAGTATCACAAATTTCTTCTCTTCATTTTCCCCTGGATGAGTTAATAACAAATAAACACCTGATTTGGGCTTTTTTTCCATTCCTGTGAAACTACAACTGTTACATATGTCTTTGCACAGCTTAACAATGGAATCAATCTAATACTGATATTACACTGAAAGAAAAAGCAACTAGTAGAACAACAGAAGTAATATACAGCACAAAATTTGCGTAACAGCATTTAATCATTGTATGCTGATGTATGGAGTCGCAGGGGCAGCTAATATGAAGTAGATGTATTTCCACCGAAGAGCATTTTAAAAGCCTAGTCATTTATTATTCCCTCATACTTCTACAAACAAACGATTTATGGGAAAATACTAACATGAGAGCTAAGTATTATTATTGCTGTTACTGCTGTTCTTTCCTCCTCTAAATTAGTATGTGAAATTCATTTCCCTCTGAGACCTCAAACTAATGGCATTTCTTGATATCTAATTGTAGCCACTTCATGATTCCACTGCATAAAGCAATAAAGCTGAGATTTTTCATCCCATGAGCACTGCAACGATTTCACCATTCCTGTGAATAGAGGGTGACTTGGGATAGTTATCAGTAAATCAGAACTATGCAGGGAGATCAAAACAGAAGTAAAAATACTTGATCCAGTTTGAATAATCCAAATGTTATTCTAACTATAGTTTAATAAACAATATTTGATGTAGTTGAGAATTTATGGAAGCTGATGTGATCCAGCATTCATGCCAGGAGAAAGCAAGGAATAGAGAAGTCTGGAGGTATCAGGTTTTTGAATTAATACTGACAAATGCTTCTTGTCAATATATATATTTCAATATATATTTCCACACTCAAAGTTGATTTCTTTCCCTTAGATAAAAGGAAAAGTAGAAATAATAACAAGGAATGGTTAATTACCTCGCTGTGCAAAATAAAATAATTTATCCCAGCACTCTCTATTAAAGTGATTTCAAAATATTAATACCAAACTAAATTACAGATAGCATAGGCAATGCAAAGCACTATATTGATCACTGCTTAGTAAGGAGCAATTTTTTACAGCTGACAATCTCATCAATCTCATTTTAACAATTGCTTTCAGAAGATTACAAAAACACTTCCTTGATCAAATGATTCTATTTTAAGTTTCTTTTAGTAATGAGCTCTAACTATTTAATTTTTCAAGATTATAAGTGTCACTTTGCCATTTGCCACATCAAGTCAACAAACCACCATTTAAACCAGCAGGAATGGATACATGCAGGCTGTCGACAAAAGAGCTGCCAAGCCCTGAAGGCAGGCACCCATTCATGACCATATTAAAGTGTTCATTGATTATTATTTATCTCCTTCACCTCTTGGGAGTAAGGACTTGGAGTTAAGCTGCTAATTTGCGCTAGTACACCAAATCAGGTTGCAGATCTGCAACAGGTGTGATGGCATCATGATGAAGGCTACCAGCAGTGGCTTGAGAGGCTCTTTGCTCTACTGTCTGCAAATCCAAGCTCCAAATTTGTTTAGCCCAACTAGATAAAAAGACTTTGTATAGCCATGGAAAACAATCCCCGATCTTACATTTCTGCCAAATATGGTATGTCACATACTACTCTAAAAGCCCTGAAATTGTAATGGATCACCATTCGAAACTGGTTTTGTTCACAAGACACAAATAGATTTCGCTTGCTTTGAACATCCAACACTACATTAGGGACCAAAAGAAGAGGAAGTCTTTCAACATCATAGTCAAACTCCCTCCCCCTCAAACACCAAGGTTCCTTTTTTTATATATTTCATCAGAATATGCTTTCAAGCTTTCCTTTCAGAACAGAAAAACTAGGTTGAAATTTTGTTTAAGGAGGCAGCTGTGGCAGCTGATTTGTTGCAGTACGGCAAAACACTGAAGCTGAATTTTTGAGCCATTTTCCCCAAGTTTCGTCTTTAAAATTGTGTGAACGACAGAGTAAGTAGCTGGACAAGAACTCAGACAACTACTTTTCCTTCAACAGAAGTTTAAACTGTCAAATACTGACAGGCACATAGCAAATCACAACACTGGGATAAGACTTACTGATCAAAACAGAAGAATTATTCTTTGACCAGAATCTTGCAGATACATGTGCCTAAAATCCTGACATAAAAAAGTGAACCCAAACATTTCCAGGTGAGACTTTCACATACTTAATCACTTTGTATACATTATTTTGGGCAATGAACCAAACCAAAAATTTATCTTGTTAATCTAAATTCACTCAGATTAGGGAGCAAGTAAAACTAAAAGGTTTTTTCTTAGTACTTTTTCTTAATACCACCTCCAACCAAGACAGTGGTGAGGCCTTGGCACAGTTGTGGCTGCCCCATTCCTGGAGGTGCTTGAGTACAGATTGGATGGGCCCTGGGCAGTCTGATCTGGTGTTTGGCAACCCTGTCCACAGCAGGAGGGTGGGAAACAGGTATCTTGGAGGTTCATTCCAACCCAAGCTATTCCATGATTCTATACATTTGTTGTTTTTTTTTTTTTATTACTACATCATAAGTGTTAAAATGTTCATAGTAACTCCCTGCTAGGCAGGGGGGTTGGAACTACATGATCCTTGGGGTCCCTTCCAACCCGGGTGATTCTGTGTGATTCTGTGTGATACTGAATCTTCCAACATTACTAAAAGGAGGAGTTGCTAACTGCGTATCAACCAGGTACTCTCAGGAACACATCAGTGGCTTTGTGCCCAAAATGCTTTCATAGCTTTTTGGCATGATGATAAGAAAACAAATTGAAAAAGGCATAAAGTGGAACTGGGCTATGCTATCTTAGAAATTATTATTATACTTTCATTTTTTTTTTATTTTTTTTTTATTTTTTTATTTTTTTTTTTTAACCTTCTCACCAATTACTCCCCAAGCATTTCTAAACAATTTCCAATTATTTTTATCTAGGATCTTTTGCTAATAATGCTCTAAAACGGTGTAAACATCAAAATCAATGATCTTCAAAATTACGTGACTGTATTCTTAGACATTTAGCAGAGCTAAATACATCAACCTCAAAAACAAGTGTCAAACAAAACCACAGCATTTCTTTAATTATTTGAATAACTACTTTCTGTACAAATATTTTGGATTAGTGAGAAATTAATTCTTGATCACCTTTTTTTCAACTGACTGTGAAGGATGAGAAGCTCTGCTTGCTCTGGTATTCTACTTACTGCACCAATCTTCCCCTTTCTTTCACATCCGTCAGACTCTGAACTATTCGTTCAAAAACCATCTTCTAAACTAATTTCTATTTGTTGCTTGCAATGTTTCACAATTGCATGCTTTTATTTAAATGACAGAAGACAACTTTATTTTTCACTTTAGGTTCACTGCTGAAGCACAGGCATAACCACATTCCTACAAGATAACCTATAAGCAGCAGATAAGTTTTTTGCTCACCAGTCAGACAACAGCAGAAGTGCGTCCAGAGCTGTGTGGAGGTACAATTGCTTACTGTGAGCAAGAGCAGTAATGGAGCAGGGCTTTAAGCTCTGCAAGGGGAGCAGCTCCTTTACCAACAGCTGCCAAAAAACTGGCAGTTGAGAGAGACACTCCTGGGTAACATACATACATAAATATAAACGCTTATAAATATATTTTAAAATGCATATAAATATAGGTATAATGTAATGTCACCGATGTCCCCAATACAAATAAAACCCTTTTTTGGGTGTAGAAGCAACTCACCCATGACACACTGAACATATATTTTTACCTACTTAAAAAGAAAACAAAAACAAAAAACACTGCATAGTAGCAACAGTATCTGTCATAGAATTACCATTGCAACTGAAAGACCTGGCTTGCCATCTTCTCTACCACCGTTCAATATCCTTGAAAGCCCTGACAAATGCATTCTTTTTCTAATAGAGCTACAGACTGTGTTACTTTTAGTCATAGCGTAATGTTTGTTCTCTTCTATTCAAACAGATGCTTTCTTGCCATCTGTGATTTCACTTACTATACCCTTGGGATTTACAGACTTTAACTGGGATTGCCAGACCATTATTATACCCACTGTTACAGAAGATAAGTACTCCTTTCTGCCCTTTTCCCTCGACTTAATGCCATTTAGTTGAAGCAGCTTTCTACTGAAGAACGAGGTGTACTTACAATGGTATTTCTGTGTATTGATGCAACAGAAATGTAACTTCTGTTTTCCTCTCACAGGGGGAAAAAATTATTTTGGTAAGAAAACACTTTCTGAAGTTATTCAGAAGAACTGGACATACAGAAACAAAGTGGAACAGTTATTTTTTTATACCCAGTTAGAAGATCCATAATGGCAATCCAAATATCCTGGTCCACAATGAAGCAAGCTCCTTTATAGCCAAGAGCCATGGGGCATGTGCTGCACTGAGCACTGAAACCCTTCAAGGTCTTCATTTTGTTGCAAGAAAGAAATGTCTTT